TTTGTTTATTGTTATTTAACATTGTCAATACAATTGTTTAATAAGAGGTTCATATTTAAGATATTTACCAATTAGTATTGTCAGTAAAGAAAGTTCACTATGTCATCTTTGAAGGATATTTGTGAGGGAATACCGGTGGATCCACTTCCTGAGCCGAGAGAACGAGACGAGGCGGTGCCACATGCTCCGATTCGAACACCGGACCTGACAAGAGATGAACGAAGAGTAAGTACTTAAACCCTGATAGTGAAATTATCTTTTCTACAAACTAATCGTTTTAATTGAAATAATTCGTAAGACATTACCCTTATATCATATACATTTACAATGAGGTCCATGTTTGTTAAAACGATCGTATATTTGTTGACCAAAACAACTATTATACAGAAAGTTTAGAACGCTTTACATAAAAAATAACAGATAAAAGGCATATTTGCTGTACTAAGATATATTTTAACCAAGTTGAATGATACATGTAGCTGTTTTTAATTGTCACAGTTGTTGTTTACCGCACCAAACACTAATGTACAACGGTAATCAAAAATAAACAAACATACATATGTACGCACATATAGTAAATTTAAACACTTTGGGGACTAAAATAACTAAAAAACTAATGTGTCAAACTTGTGCTCATGCAATGTTTAATGAAATCGATGTATTTACCTAACCGTTTAATATCATGCAGAAATATTTATATTCTTAATTATACCAGTTTAAATTTAGTATCAAATTATGATTTAAACGGTGCAAGAGAGGGTGTGTGAACAATCCGGCGGATAAACCGCTGGCACACTGACATCTATAAACAGACGATAAAGATTGAGCTTGCAACATATTCAGTTTCTTCGTATTTGACCGATCTTTTGGACATTTAATTGAAAAGGTTATTTAAGGATTGTTTAAAATATGACGATGACAACAATTTGATCTTTATGTGACTACGCATATGTTTAAAGATAAATAGGACTATAACCTTGGCCGATAAAGATTACTATATACGTGAGTTTATTCGCGATTATAGTAACATTGATTACTTATTAACCTTTCTCTCCATTGTCCATGGTTTGTTTATATAAACTTAGTATACATGAATACATTTCCATATTTTCTGCCAATAGCTGCAGGCGGCAACATATTGAAATAGTACTTTTAAATGCAACTACAGTTGACTCTCAATAAGTCAAAATCGCTTTACTCAAAATTCCGCGTTAGTCGAAAAATTTCTAAAGTCCCGTCAAATGTACTTATTTCTTGGACTAGTAAATAAACTGGTGCCTTTAAACTATAATTCCCATCTTTCTATGGTCATATCAGTTACAAAGGGATATTTTTGTCCTTAAATTTTCAGTTAGCTCTCCAAAATGCACTACGATATTTTCCGCCATGCCTTCACGAAACGCTAGCATCTGAGTTTGCAGACGAACTTCGAACTTATGGACATATTTACATGTACAGGTTCAGACCCACGCTTGAAATGAGGTAACTTGCTATTTTAACTTACTACATGCGATGCACTATCACTTATAACTCTGGTCTTATACTGTTAAGAGCGAACTCTTAAGTAATAATTCTTTGTTATGTTGTTTTGTTTTGGGGTTTTTTTTTGTTAATACTAATGTTGTTGAAAATGACGATGATGATCATGATGATCATGATGATGAAATCTTCATCTTAAGACTAATATTTCATTTATTGCTTTGTCGTTCTTCGTCGTCGGAACATGTTTTCTCTAACCGACATAGAATATTTCATACTTATATTATTACATTACAGGGCTTATCCTATTGATGAATACCCGGCGAGGTGTCGCCAGGCTGCTGCGCTCATGCATATGATAATGAATAACCTTGACCCTCGTGTAGCTCAATTCCCTCAAGAATTAGTCACGTATGGTGGGAATGGACAAGTGTTTTCGAACTGGGCTCAGGTAGATAGATCAGGTCTTGTCGTATTGGTTGTTTAAATGATAAGCTGTTCACCGAGCATTTTGATTGCATAACGGTAAAAAGCAAAAACCAACAATCCATTTCTGTTCAAATTGCTTAATGGACCTCTCGGCCGGTTTTTCGTAGCGGAACATTTAGCTACACCTTTTCCATCCATTGCTAGGTCAACTGCTCACAAACAGTAGCACAAACAAAACCATGTGTTCTTTGGTGCAAACCAGGTCAACCAGTGACTATGTACTATCTCAGTGTAGCAATTGGATAATTTACATATATTTGTAAACACTGGAAAGATCCATTAGCCGTCTCAAATGTACAAATCTTTAGGGGTACACTGATCCCTTAACAACAGAGATCATGGATAGCCATGTTTTCATTCATCATTTTTGATATTCATATGAAACAGGTTTCATTATGCTTATTCATTATGTTTGTTATACATCTTTCTTGTCCGTTTTTCTCTACTTCATTGATAATAGAAAATGACTGTATTTAAAAGAAATAATTATGTTTATATGCAGCTGTTCCTAAGGTAACCACTTTAAACTAACAACAACCTTTAAATTAATGATGCAACAATTGTTTATTTTAATCCTTAAAAGCAGGTGCTAGATTGCATTAGCAAAAGCCCCTTTTTCTACTTCACCTTTTCTTATAACGTGTTTGATCCATCTTTAAGTTAGATTTCTCGTATGTACCTAAATTAATTTTGTATTAGATTTTTAATTACGTTTCAGCAAATAATTCAATTAAGTTGGATTCTGTCCAACTGTCAAGGTTACTTCAATTACAAACTTATTTTACGACTTTAACAAGAAAACATAATATGGTATTCGTCTTAACAATCATTAAAATTGAGCCGCGTCACGACAAAACCAACATAGTGCGTTTGCGACCAGCATGGATCAAGACCAGCCTGCGCATCCGCGCAGTCTGATCAGGATCCATGCTGTTCGCTGTCAGTTTCTCCACTTGTAATAGAGTTGGTAAGCGAACAGCATGGATCCTGATCAGACTGCGCGGATGCGCAGGCTGGTCTGGATCCATGCTGGTCGCAAACCCACTATGTTGGTTTTGTCGTGACGCGGCTCATATTTCATTACAGTTCTTGCTGACGATGAAATATCTATCTGAAATGTCGGAGGAACAAACGCTTGTCCTATATTCAGGTCATCCTATGGGACTATTTCCCAGCACGCCAGACTCACCAAGAGCTATTATTACAAACGGAATGGTAATATTGCTGTTATACATAGATACACTTTTTTTGAGATTTAAGTCGAACACACCGTAAAGAATCAGATAACTACTTTCTTGTTTCTACTGTCTGTTGATGACACTAAAAGTCCTTTAGTTGATATTACCAGGCACGAGAAGACTATAAGCTAGAAATACCACATGTTGGGAGGTAGCTTAATAGTTTCCTCACATAACGGAATTTAAAATCATTGTCGGGATGCGAACACATGGAGGCAAGCAGCAATCTAAATTACTTAGAGTAAATATACAAGATATACCTGGAAACATTTTGATATAATATATAAGAAGTTTCCATTTCCCAATATTACAACTACAATATCGTGCTATAATTAATTTCATAAAGAAAGAAAACAGACCAAAAGCAAAAATAAATATGCTTTAAATGAGGTATGATATTAAATTTAACTCATGCGCTTGAAGAAGAATGACCATTTAAATGTACATATTGTATCGTTTATCGAAAAAATATTTTGATATTTTCATGAAGCATTTGTTTACACGAAGAAATAATATATCATAAGAATACCAAATGTTTTTACAATAAATAATGACATAATATATAATTTTATACAAATGAAATATTAAATTCCTATATTTTATATGATGGTATGATTGAATGATGCTCAAGAAGAGGTTGAATGTTTTTTTTTAAATCAAACTGCAATGGCCTAAGCGACATGTGCAATAAGTAAACGAGCATGTCTGGACTACTAAGTGGTATTAAAGTTAAAAGAAATAATAGTCATGCTTGTTTTGACAGGTGATTCCTAACTATTCTTCTAGAGAATTATATGAGAAGATGTTCGCACTTGGTGTAACAATGTAAGTACAAACATGTTTTCTGATATTTTCTTTGGATTATTTTAAAAATTAAACATGCATGTTGATTTTTTTTCCTTTGACCAAATTTGAATTAGGCTAAAAAGCTATTTGTCAGTAACCATATATTTAGCTGGATATCTCGTACCTTTATATGTTTGTTCATGAAAAAGATTTGTTAAGCGTATCTGATGCCTTTTCTTTTTATCTTTTCTTCCCTAAAAATGTTTTCTTGAAATATTCATATAACACATTGAAATGAGACACTTTCAAGACAGTTGCACAGTAAGTCTGTAGATAAGTCAACTTTTTGATTCTTGATGTTAATGATTTCCAAATTGATGATACATAGATATAAAATCATTGCAGTACAACAGTACAGAATGCCTCAGAAAGCGATATTTTTATAATTCTTTAGAAATGTCAAACATTTGTTTAATATTGCTTTCACAATGGATTTAGAGCATTTTAAATGGTAACCAACTGATGAAAGTAGGGATGAAAGTGCAGTAAAGTGTCCCAAAGGTAGCAAAATGTAAACAAATTAGAATTTTGACTTCCACACAGAATACTAAATATACCAACTTCCGACAGAGCAAAAGTAGCAAAACAGTTCATACATATGGAAATTGATTTTTTTTTTCGAAAGGTGTAATAAGATATTAAAAATGAAAAGTTTGGGCCTAATGGGCCTTTAAAGCAAAGTGTTTATAAAGCTACTATTTCTATTACGTACAGGTATGGTCAGATGACTGCAGGAAGCTATTGTTATATTGGTCCCCAAGGTATTGTTCACGGAACAACAGTAAGTAGATTTGTAACTTTTTTACAAGGTAGTACGTCATAATATCTGACGTTATTTTTATTATATAATTAAGTTATCACTTTCACATTTAGCAGCATATCTAACATTATAAATGAAGACGTAAAATTCATACATTGGCAGAAATCATCAACATTGTTCTCTTTATTTTTCGACGTTTCCTTTGTATATTGTACAATCAACAGAAACTTTAGCATTGCTGTCATACACAAGGTGACCTATTTTTTATTGAAATTTCTTTTATTTTCACGTATTACAGCTGACCGTGCTGAATGCTGCACGAAATCAACTCGGTTCGGACAACATGGCAGGCAGGGTAAATGAATTGATTGTAGTAGAATTTCGATACATCGAGCCTATTGAATCGCGAATACTCATATTACCTCGAGCACTTGTTCAGCTCCCGGCCAAGATATTATTACATCTAGCATTGGTCACCAACATCAACACCTGCGAATCTTCAAATACTGAAGTTGAGGGTTGACCCTAGTTATTTTGACCACTTTTCATTGATCGCGCATTATGTTTTGGCACATTAATCAAGCCCATCAAAATTACTGTTGAATTAGATATAACTGATTTCATACCTTCAATTTTATTTCTGCTATCGTTATTATCATAATGTCTGGAAAATAAAAACATACAGGATATACGAGAATAATTAATTTGTAGGTATTTGTGACATCCGGTCTCGGCGGCATGAGCGGTGCACAGGCAAAGGCTGCAGTTATATGTGGTTGTGTGGGTGTTATTGCAGAGGTACAGAATTTAAGACAAAAATAGATACCCTTTTAATTTACATTTACCAGCACAAACATATCTTTTGCGCGTTTAAACCCTTTTAACTCTTTCGAATAATGCATGTATAATATGTATCTAGTACGGTGTATATTTTAATTGCAAATAATCAGAGCGAATTTCATTTGTTAAATTTCAAGAAACTTATTTTCTTTCGGATACACAACAAATTGATTGCTTTGTCTTTAAATGTATCAAATGCTAAAGGGCATGGACGGTAACTTGCACTTTCCAGTACCGTCCATGAACAGGCTCAATCAAACTGAGTCTGCAACGTTTTCAATTTATTTAGGGATCCTGTTTTTCTCTATTTTGAAACTTATATTATAACAGGTAAGTGGCGAAGCTCTGTATAAACGTTATAAACAAGGATGGTTGCTAGAAGTTACAGACGATCTCGATACATGTATCTCAATGATTCGACATGCAAAACGTGAAAAACGTGCAACAAGTATAGGATACCATGGCAACGTTGTTGACTTATGGTATTTATATTTTTGATACTGTTAAAGTAGTATTAGTTAAATAACTATTAAATAAGAATACATCAACCGTTTGTGTGTATAAGATTTGAATCCTAGTGCACAACTAGAAAATAGTTTTCATTAAGACAATAGAATTAATCTAAAATCTAAAATTTGTATGACCCTTATGATTTTACGTGTAAAAATGCGGGTCGCGTCACAATTCTTGTCCTTGAGTTATCTGCCCTTGAAGTTGATTAGTGTCCGTAAACAAGCTTTCCTTTGAAAAAAACTTTTTATGAACTTTGACTGTCATTGGAAATATTAGATTATTTAAATAAAAGTTTTTACATGATTGCTTTATTTAATAAATTTGTAGGAAAAAACTTATATTTTTTTCATTGTTCTATACCAGGGAGAGACTTGTTCTTGAATATGATAGAACTGGTGATCTGTTAGTCGACCTTGGCTCTGACCAAACCTCATGTCATAACCCATATCAAGGAGGATATTACCCGGCACAGGTTTAGCTGCATTTGAGCCGCGTCAAGACAAAACCAACATAATGTGTTTGTGAACCGCATGGATCCTGATCAGACTGCGCGGATGAGCAGGCTGATATGGATCCATGCTGATCGCAAACCCATTATGTTGGTTATGTCGTGACGCGGCTCATTTTAATACTGTCAAATGTCTACAGATATAAATGTACAACGAACTATGCAATTCTGCTTGGTGAAATTTACCTGGATTGTATAGAATGTCTACGTTACTGTTGTGCGTTGTTTTAATTATGGATCTCTTTTAAATGCCTTTTTTCCAATAAAATGTAATCTGACAGAACATTGGCAAACTATTTTGTTTAGATTAATGCCCTGAAAATTCATTACACTATCAGTATTTCTTACATTATTACGTTACTCGCGGAAAAAATGTTTTTTATCTTTGAAATGAACATATCAGTATATGCTTATATTTGGCTCTTTGTCAACACCCGAATATTATAAAGTATATTTCACTGTTTCAGTTAACTTTTGATGAGGCAAGGGAAGTAATGCACGAGAATCCTGTCCGGTTCAAAAATTTGGTGCAAGAAAGGTATTTTTTATACATCTTTCAAAATAAATAAATTCAGGGAATTAAATAAATGTTTGAGAATACGTTCATATAATAGTCATGTGTAAGCATTGTATACATTTAAATACTTTCATCCCTGCTAAATATATCAATCATTTTGATTAAATGAGTGTCCCTTATCACCGATTCAAAAGCAGCTCTATCTGTGCGTCCGTCTACTTCTGTTTGTTGTAATTGATAATGATATTATCGTCATTTGTAGTTTACGGCGGCATGTGGCAGCTATTAATCATCTGGCAAGCAAGGGGTTGTATTTCTGGGACTATGGTAACGCATTTCTTTTAGAGGCTGGTAGAGCAGGTATGTTGTAGTAGTAAAAAATGAACGTTTAGAATCAGTCTGTTTTAAAAAATATTTTTGCAATTCTAAACATTAAGCAATGAATTGTATACAACTTTAAGTTTCTAAATGTCATGCTATTTGCAATTTGTCACAGATACGACAAACTCCTCGTGATTCATGCCGGTGATTACCCTTGCTTTTCAGAATCAGATTTAAAATAGACAATGACAAAAGGAAAGTATATGAGAAATAAATTTGTCATTTACAGCCTTAAGAATATACACTTACTCAGACTTCTTCCTTTGTATTTTATGATTTTCTGCTCGCAACATCCGAGTGTGATACAGTTGGTAAATATAATATGAATGTCATATCAATAAATTGCATTAATTACAATTTCTTAATATCACAAATTCTGTATGTTAAATTTTGTAACGTTGTTAACCAGAGTTTCTTCACATTTTACAAATGCTTTATTTCGCACAAAAGTGTATCAAATCAAATCACAGATGACTTTCATTATGTTTCAAACATGGAATGCCAAAAATCAAAAGGTAGATTGAAATTTTTATATACCAATTAACAAAAAACAAATTACAAATAATACCGTATATCACAGTGAATTTAATGTTCTAAATCCGAGTTAAAAATGATAGTAAAAGTTATTCCCTGCGGTCTGGAGACCGCAGGGTATTGGTACGTGTTTAACTTTTGAGGCATGGAGGAGCACGTGACCTGTTTTCGGTACATGGAGGAGCATGTGATCTGTAAACCGTACATGATTGGTTAATTGACCTTTTCGAAAACCTAGCTAAATACCGTTTGCCGGTACGTTACGGATTTACCTGTAGGGAATTAGTCCGATTTACACATAATTAAGAACAAAAAACTATTGCTTGATATTTCTAATTTTCTATAATTATTTTACCGTTAAATGTGGAAAAACTTGAATGATGTGATTATCAATGTTTCTTTAATATCTATCTCTTTTACAAACAATAAATTGTTTATACTGAAAATATACAAAATTAAAATATTCGTAGTGGCATCTGCCATAATAAATAGAGATATTTTCTGCGTAAACTTGTGTGTTTACTTTATTTATTTTTTTGCTCGGAATTATTCATAAAAAGGGAAGGCCTATATAATCATTTTCTTAAAAAGAAATAATTGTTTTATGTTCGACCTTCTCCGGTCTTCAACGGTCACCAGTTTCCAATCCAAAGACCTTCTTCTATTAAATTGTCAACTATATTCCTGATACAAACGTTTATTTATCCCCCAACCCAAATAATGTTGAAAAAAATTAATTGAAATATATTTAAATCATTAAAATGTTCACCGCAGGAAACCATTTTACTTGTATTATATTTGGTTTATGTTCAACATCTACTGGAAACGATGGTCATAGTTATTGCGAGTAAAACGGTCACTTTGAAAGAAGAACACAGATGTATGATGATAACTTATAAAAATGCGTTTTTTTTAAATAGTAGACCCTTAGAGGGCAAAGAAAATAATTAAATCTTGTAGACTCGATTTAATTGAGATTGTTCTTGAAGAGACAATGAAATGTGCAACAAATCTCAAACTCCCTTGCAACGGCTTCGATCCTTAAGTCTTAAATTATGCTATTTAAATGAACAATAGCTCTACGGTTGCCTTTGAATAAAACGATATATAGATTTATGTCTAATTTTAAAAGTAAATAATTACAAGAGCATCTTAATAAAAACCAAATTATTATATATTTTATAGAAAGTTGGAAATGAAAAAGAAAGTATTTATTTCTGTAAAAGGTTGTGTTGATATTGTTGATACTGACTTCTAAAAGCAACGTATTGTTTTTGTTTTAGGGGCAGATGTCGGGCAGAACACTGGTTTGCACGGAACATTTTTCCGTTATCCAAGTTATGTACAGGATATAATGGGGGACATTTTCTCATTGGGCTTTGGCCCTTTCCGGTATTTTTTGGTTGTTTTTTTACATAGAAAATGTGGTAAAATAGTATTTTTGCAGTATAATTGAGCACACGAAATCTATTGTGGTGAATAAAAAAAGATATATAAGACGAAAATCGATTTGCAATAAATTGCTATCAAAAGATGAATCATTAGGACCCTATTTAATTTAAGAAGTAAGTCATATTTACAAAGCCGTTAATGTCTATTTTAATTTATATAGAATGTAGCAACGTAGATAAAAAAAACATGGCGAACAACACCATTTAACGGTAACAGTATCGATATCAGTTTCACTCTGTTCTAATTGTATAAAATGTTGTAAAACTAGAAAATGATTGCAATTCAAATCTGCTTGTATATTATATTATGTTATGTTCTGTTGTCTTGTGTTGTGCTATCTTGTCTTGTCTTGTATCGTGTCGTGTCGTGTTTGGATTGCCCTTGTCGTGTCATATCATATCATGATATTATATTTGTTTTTGGCAGCTGGGTATGTACAAGTGGAGAGCCAAGTGATCTCGACACGACTGATGATATTGCTGGCACTGTAATGGAAGATATCATCAACGAAGGAGGTGAGCTTGCCTTTGCTCCTTTCCCTTTTAAATGTAGTATACTCATTTTATAAGATTTTTATAGGCTAAGACAGACAAGCATTCGTGGGTAATTATCCAGAAATAGACATGATTGGACCGAACTAACAACATATTCAATTCTGCTATGTTTGTCATTAGAACGAGTAAATGCAACAACTTGTTACAAACCTTTCATTAGACTACAGGAATATCATATGCAAGTTCACCTGGATCATTTTACTATCGTACGCTAGATACAACTTATAGTATAATAGCCTATCTTTTTTTCCTGTATAGTAAATAGATATTGTTAGTTTTCTTTGGTTTCTGCTTTACGATTATACAATGTATATAGATTAAGTCATTTTGTGACTTTTGGAATCCGTATCAAATTGCTTGTCATAACATTTCATTATTTAGTACCCGAGATTTTTTTACTCCATAGCTCTTTCCCAATAATTAAATGAAATGAAGGATACCAAAGCCATATGACTACGTTAAGTTATCTTGATTTAATTCCAGTGAAAGAAAACGTAAAACAACAATATACGGATAACATACGTTGGATTAAAGAAGCGTCTAAGAATAAAATGGTAGTATTTTACTATATTAAGTTTCTTGGGACTGTAGCTTGCACTTTTAAGTACCGTTCATGAACAATTAAATGAACTCCACTGAGGTCCAATAGCCTAAAATAATAAATTTTAAAATTCTTCTTAAATCAACTGATACATTTAAATTTGAAAACCAAGCAATAAATGATATATAGATATAAACGGTATTAAATTGATAATCGATTTTATGCAATTTTTGGCCGATTTGAGTGAAAAGCGTTTCAACGCTTTACATTTTTTTGGGCCAATTGGCACAATATTTTTTTTCTGGGAAAAGGAGTGAGCGAATGATCTGAAATTTTGTACACAAGTTATTGGTGTAGACATACTTCTAGTTATAAAAAAAATCTTGAAAAAATATATTTTGTCCCTTCATGTCACAAAAAACCTCAGTGGGGTCCCTTTAACTGGCTCGATCGAACAGGGCCAGCAACATCTTCAATTTTCCGTTTTGTACGCTCTTTGGTGATTCTTATTTCTCTATTCTTGTAATGATATAGAATTTTTTTTATCAATTTTACACAAAACAAAATATGATAATTTCAAGAAAAATGTATTTCAATGAAGCAGACTATTTAAGACTTTTGCTTTTTGCAAGGATCCAGAAACTTACAGTATCACATTTCATGATGATATGATTTTAACAGGTTGTTGGATCACAAGCGAGAATCCTTTATTCTGATGACAATGGTAGAGTTGCTATTGCAACAGCATTCAATAAAGCAGTAGCGGAAGGAAAGTTGAAGGTAAAATAATACCGTAACAGAATTTTACATTTCATCATAAAATATCTGCAATAATTTCAATTTAGATGTCTAAAATTACCTTAAATGTTGTTTTCTTTTCAAATTTTATTGTTTTTATTGCTTATATGCATGCGAATATTTTGACCTTAACAGATTGTTTGAGTGCTTGTGTTTTATTTAAAAAAATGCAGACGTAAACAGTATCGTTTTTATAATAAATGTTAACCATTTATTTGGGTATTCCGTTAGAAAATACACATTGTTTGTGTTCGATTAATATTTGATGTACAAATCTGAAGCAGTAATAATCAAACAAGACGGAATGACTGTCAAATAATGTGGAGAGGTCAAATCCCTATGCGCCTAACTGAAAAACTTTTTTTAAATCATGAAGCGGCGACACAGTACACAAAGGCCTTGGTGATATAACTGTAACTAAGATATTGTGTATTTTATTTTAGGGACCAGTAGTTATAAGTAGGGACCATCATGACGTCAGCGGGACAGACAGTCCATATAGAGAAACTTCCAACATATATGATGGGTCAGCATTTTGTGCTGGTAAGTTCTATTCCTGGTCATATGCTGTATGTTAGATTGGATAAAGCATCATTTTTTATTATTAAGTGTGATATATAACAATAAGTAATAGGTTTGACAGCCCCAGTGCGGTTTATTTTTATCCCCCCTCGTATATGTATAAATAACATAGTTATAATTTCAGGTTGAAGTAATCAATAATGTTTTTTTGGTTAGCAGTTAAAGATATGCTAGTAGGTTTAACATCCACTGACAAATATAAGTTTATAATATCTAACAAATGCCCATCTTTTAAAGTATTAACAATTACTTTAAATGTTTGCGTATTTTAGATATGGCAGTTCAGAATGCTATAGGCGATTCTTTTAGAGGGGCAACATGGGTAGCTCTACATAATGGGGGCGGTGTTGGATGGTGAGTACAAATTCGCTCTTATAAATAATCATGTCTATAATACAATTGTAAAAGGCTCTTTTCTCTTAGAATAACAGTTAATACTCACACAGATTTACGAATTGTTTTACCCAAAGTTATTATTGGAGCCTTTAACCCTTAAACTTGCCAGGCAAGCATGCCCGTCCGTGCTGTCAGACCAAATTCTATCACGATTGGTAGTTCACTAATTGTATTTTTTATTGAAATGGACAATATTAAAATTTAAGGAATGGAAATCCGTAACTCAAATTAAACAAGTCAAGGTTTATATAAGTGCAGTTAAGCCTTTACATGAAGTGTCTTAAACTTAGGTAACAAAGACAGTATTCGTAGAAATCGGGTTGAATGTTGAATACTTAGACGACCTCCGTTTAGTAGTGTTAGTAATTTGATGACCTTCTAAAACCTGTACATATTAACCTACAAAAATACAACGACACAAAAATATCAAATCAATTATGACAATGTATGTAAATTGAAAAATACTGTCTTAATTTTGTTAATCTTATCTAACTTATTTTCATTTACAAATATTTAAGGAAATGATAATCTGACTTAATGCTAAATGACTGACATTAAAAGTTGGCTTTATGAATATGACAAAGAATTATTTTAAAGAGATCTTTTTATCTTCTAGATTATATATCAAAATACTAGTATATATTTGTTTGTCATTTAGATATGAAAGTTGATGTATAAAGATTGGGCTCAAGTGAATTTAATTCGGCTCTATGGTCTAAAGTTTGTCATCACGATCTTAATTATTATTGTTAAGCAGCACGCCTCCTGATTCATGCTTATTTTAAAATGTATTTGAATGTGTAATATTGTGAAGTAACCAAAAGGAATCAATTTACACGTTTTCAATTCCTCTTACAAACCACGTTAATTACCAAATCGTAGTCAAAATATGCATTAATAGCCTTTACTGCGTTGGTAACGCTGTAGAAATATAGTTGTAAAAACTGAAATGTCAGTCATTAATCGCACAGAATATGTAAAATATTACTTAAATCATGAAACTTTTTACTTTTCATTACATCTAAGTACATTTTTCTCAAGTCATATTTTACTGAAATATTTTAATCATCTTGAGGCATGTAGCTTTAAGAATATCAAGCGATATTAACAGACATAAAATATACACCAACACATTTTGTTAAATGCTATAAACATTTTAGGTTTCAACTTATATATGTTCGGCTATATGCATAATAGTATGTAAAAGAAAGAAACTGGTCTATTATCATGTATAATGAAAATCTCTTGCAGGGGTGAAGTTATGAATGGAGGATTTGGACTTGTACTGGACGGATCCAATGTAATATTTTCAACATCTTGTTTGTGTTTTGGTTAATGATGTCCGTGTTAATTGCTTTCAATTAATTTTAAAGCTGATTTCAATCATAGACAAAAATGTTTCGAAATTTTTTAAGTGATCACGTGTACAAAATATTCAGCTATAATTGTTCCCCGGAAGCACATTTCAATAACAAATAATGTTCGTTAGACTTACCTATAGATTTACTAAACTACTGTCTGTCTTCATGCTTTCAAATTTAAATTGAGAAAATTTTGTCAAACTATTCAACGTTGATATGATATTATTCCTTGAGATTTGCATACATAATTTTGTTCATTTGGAATGTTTATTATTAGTTAATTGTTAAATTACCTAATTAGTACAATATGAAATACAAATAGTTTATTTTACACACAAATAACAACACATTAGACTTTTTAAATTACATATACGAAAGACATGTTTATCAATTTTTCACTAAAATTAAAAGGGCAAAAAACCTTTCTCTGTATAATTGACATAAAAGAATCAAGCTTTGACCTTTTTACGAAATGATACTGGTCTGGAGACGAATATTGATATTATATCTGTGGATGTTTTAAAATTCCTAAGTTAAACATTACCATGCATAAATGTTATAAATATACTGCTAAGGCGGTGCAGGTGGGCAAAGACTACTGTTCATTAACAGACCAATCCTGCAATATCTTAATTCTTTTGCCGTATAATGTGTTCTTTAGAAATTATGTTTGTTATTTTTTATATATAGTTTCAGTAGATACGTCTGCTACAAAACGCACACTAATCGTTATGAGTTAGTTATATAAATATAATTTAAGTGACATTAAGAATTTAACACCTCTTGTATTTTTTCATAAAGCAGCTGTAAAATGTTTTTAATTTAAATTTATGTTCATCAGGAAGCAGCAGAAAGGGCCAAACGTATGCTCTCATGGGATGTTTCTAATGGGGTAGGTAGTTCTTTATTACAATGTAAGGAAAGCCAAGATTTAGACATTTTTCAGCAGTGTTTTTGGCCAGTGTTAATGATCACCTTCTTAAACATTGAATCAAATACAAATGTACAATTAACGCTGATACTGCCTGACGTTTAACTCAGTGCTAAAGGGTGGAAATGATGTAGATTGGTAGCCCCACTTCTGAAGTTTTGTAAACAAGTTGTGACCACAAGATTATCAGATCGTAAACAAATATGATTTTAAAGTGCTATATAGTGTCAATATTGTGACCATTCATGTAACAAATACTTTTTGTACTTCCTTTAGTGATAACAATGCCTAGTAATCGTTTTAGTGTTTATTTGAAACTTTTGTTAGCTCGACTGTTTGCAAACATAAATAGGAAAAGCTATTGCAGTTATCAAGACGTCGGCGTCACACTTTGGTTAAGTTTTTGCGTGCAATTTGGTATCTCCGAAACTACTGAAAGGAATAGAGTAAAACTTCACTCACTGATTTTAGAGCATAATATAAGTTCACTTTGGCCCATAACTCTATCATGTATTTTAGCAGAATAATTGCCCCTTTTGAACTCTTGTTTATTATCAAGCACTGCGTACTCGATAGCGCTGTCATACCTACAACTCTTGTTTTTATTGTATTTATATACTTCCGAAATTTATGCACGATATTGTTCAATGTAAATGTAAAAGATGTAGCAAGACATATTTATGATATAATTGATATAAAATATATGTTTAAATGTTTAGGTTGCTCGACGAAGCTGGTCAGGGAACAGTAAAGCCAAGGAGACAATATGTAGAATAATGGAGGAAAATCCAAACATGAAAGTTACTGTTCCAAACGAAGTAGAAAATAAAGATATTCTTGAAAGGGCACTTAAAGACTAACTCAGAAACATTATAACATTTTATGATCAGTTATTTTGAAACAACAGTTTCAAAGAATGAAATATGCTAATAATCATTTATGTATCATATGTCGCAAAAGTTAAGGAATTATATGGGGATAAAACAATTTGTTTTGTGTTATTCTTTATTTCATGGAAAGAGAAGTGTTTACAATGCCGACAATTGATTTATGAAAGTCAATGAATTGTTTGAGAAAGTTGAAGTTTTCCCTCATGGACAGAATCGTTCAAACCGAGTTTGCAATTTTCGTAGTACGAGATATTGTTGTTTCATTGTTTCCGAGGGAACACCCCTTTTCCAACTATTTTTTTCTCTTGTATCATATTGGTTTAAAAGTACTCTTATGTCAAAAGTATAGCCAATGTACACTGTATTATGAAATTTGGGAAAATACAAAAATAAGATGTTTACATGAATTATATCAAAAGTTCTTTGTTAGGGTTAAGCTTAGTTTTTATTCAATGAAACCAAGTCTGCAATTTTCAAATGCTTGTTTTAGCTTTCATTACAATCGATAGTCTTCCTTTTCTAAAATTTGGAGACAATATGTATCTGGAGATTTTAATGCGTCAAAAATACATCTAATGAAATCTGTTCTGATTTTGCAGTCTTGATGTATCCTTTCATGGGTGAATCCGGTATATATTTTTATCCAATTAAATTCTCTTAGTTAAGAAATAAAAACAATGCAAATCGCTAAGTGTATTTCCGGTGGAGACAGTACATAGATTGTAATGTGATGTATTTTGTTAAAACTTCAAAAGCAAAATCTTCATTTCCTATCTGTAAAAGACGGGTGTTATTTTTAACCCGACAAGGCGGGTAATAAATTTCTCATGCATATTCTGAATTAACATTCATTAAATTTCGTTCAGCGACAGCCAGTAGCTTGTTCAAATGAACCTACTTTTCGTCAATTGCAATTGAGCGTTGCAAATTGATAAAAATGAGAGCATTTTATCAAAAACGATTCTCATATATTCAGAATTTAGTCGGTGCTGTTTAAATTCATGTGCAGAATTTGGGGGAAAACATGTAATTGTTGGACCCAAATTAAGTGTTGTAAATATAAGCCCTCTATAAATATTAGTAAATAACTGTTTCTTAACAGGCTAAAATCCAACAAAACAAACGTAGAATAAGTAGCAGAAAGAAAACAAACACGTTCTGTACACCATAACCATTTAATTGTATTACATATTCTCTGACACAAAAAGTGATGCAAACAAAACAACAAATATTCTATACATAAATTAACACATGCACAAAGCTATAGATTAAAATAGCGTAACAATATAACATATACCATACCATATTTTCAATCTCAGACATATTAGAAATCAATTAATTAATAAACATTAAATAACAAAAAAGATTATTAGTTTCAATATGATAACTAATGATTCAGTCAGTCATTTTTGTCGTGTTTTATTATTTATCTAGCTTTTCTTTCACTTGCAACTCGCCGTCTTTTGGGGGCGGGTCCATCTTTTCGCATGGCAGTTGTTGGCGATAAAACGCGCGTCTCAATATCCTGTGCCGCGTGGTAATTTTCCATAAATGGTTTGGCCGTGAACCACACCTATAACATAGATAAATAAGACATTGATAGTACGTCCTGACACACATTCTTCTTTCATAAACTGGTATTTGCTCGACGAAATATTGCAGGTTTCATCCTTACAATATTCCACTGTCTGCATAAACTTCGAATATGCAAACAAAAATTCAAAATATTAATTAAAGTATTATTAATCATGACATTAATATATTTTCTTTATAAAAAGAAAACGTGAAAATGATGTTTGGAGTATCTGTTTCCCCCTACTTTCTTATTACATTTTAAAGATGGAAAAGGTTAATACACAATACATTGATACAGTAAATTATATCACTAACTGATGTTATCTAAGGAAACAATAAGCTTTAAATGATCCGTATTGCCAACATGTTAAACACGTTTTCAATTATGTGCAAATTATTTCTCCAAGATTTTATCCTGTTAACTGAGGAGAAAAACGAGTAAATCAGTAACTGATTAATCCGCAAACGGGAAAATTTACTCGTATGTCATCCATATATTCCATACATCATGATTTTTAACCATATTTCGGGATTGTTTTAATCTTTTATTTAATAAAACAAGAACCTTTCCCTCTTGTAGAAGTTTTGTGACTGCATCTATGTCTGGAGCCATATAGCGGTCTTTTATCCAAGGCCTGTCAAAACAAAACAAAAATGAACACAAAAAAACTATTGAAATTACATCGCTTTATTTGAAAAAATGCATGATTATTTCTTTCTGTTAAAAGATTCATTAATCACTTTCAAGAGTTTAGATATTTGACATTGTGTATAAATGTAATTATTTATAGTAGATGTTATCCGTACTCGGCAAACCCCCAGCTAATCCGTAGGTAGAAACAAATTTTTACCGTTATAAGCTCACGTGCACACCCGTCACAATAGATTACCCAACCTGTTGCGGGTTTTTTTCGAAGCTGTAACTGTAAAAGTGTGTTTGTACCTACGGATTAACTTGGGGGAAAATCATAATTCTAGAGTAAGCAAGTATATTTAAACAATTCAAATTATTCTAGTTTTTATCAAAGTTTTTAAGTCTGGAATAAGTTCAACTTTATAGAAAAGCAAATCATACCCAGCAACTGTCCTTACAAGTTTGCATACGGCTTCTAATGGCGGCGTTGTTTTCAGTGGTCGTAAAAACTCAATAGCTTGACATGCTGCTAACAGCTCTATTGCCAACACTATAAAGTAAATGTATATTTGTTTTAAACGAAACAAATGTACTTCTAAATTTCATATAAAAAATAAAAGAATCCATATGTAAATAGATTTAATAAAAATATGATAAAGAAGGAACTAACAGAAATATGTAATGTATTTATGGACACAAGTGGACAGCTTTTCATTCTATTTTGACTTTTTTATAAAGAATAAATCAACTTAATATCATAGAAAACACCAATTGAATAACATAATCGATCCTGTCTGCTTAAAGAAGTTGTAACTATTTCGACCCTAACTGTAAGGTGAAATTCCTTAACAGGTGCCTTAAATGCATTCGGAGCAGATCAATAGGCAATACGAATGTAATTCGAATTATCACATTTTTACGAAAATTGATTCAGTCTATATCTTTTAAGTGGATATGCATTTACAACTTCGTTGGCAAGCCTGTGACTTGGAATCAATTCAGTTTTACCTCACCTTGTTCTACATGTTCAACTACGGTGACACATTTCCTCGCTGCAAACCCTCCCATGGACACATGGTCTTCTGTTCCGGCGCTAGTTGTTAGAGAGTCAACTGATGCAGGGTGACACAGTACTTTGTTTTCCGACACTACAGCAATACAATATAGCATGGTTTAATCAGCAATACAACGTTTCATTGTTTAAATGATTTATTCAATAATATTAACTGTTTTAAAAATAAAATCTGATGAAACCAATACATGTATGTTAAGCCTTACTTATTTGTATAGTATGTCCTACAAATACATTTGGGTTTACCAAAATACCTCTTTGCAACTAGATCCGACCCGTATCTATGTTCAATGAGATTTTTTACGCCGGTCATAACACATTTGTGGTCATATCTCGTCGGTCGGGCCACCTTGCTGGCGTTCATGGATAACTAACTGTACAACCAATTTTCTTCGCAAGTGACCAACTACGTATCCCACATAATATGTGTTCAGTTTTAAGCCGTTGGCAAGGCTTACTCGATTTGTATTTAGTATGTAAAGTATGGAAATCAAATGGATAAAATGTAAATAATTAACGTGTATACCGAGAGATGCAGCAGTACAATGGGCAATCATAAATCCAGAATTTAAGCCGCCATCCTGTGTCAAAAATGCTGGTAATTCACTATATGCTGAAATGAATATAAAGCGGGAATACTACTATAGTTTATAAAGAGATGGCAATAAGAAAATGATGTCTTTGATTACTTTAAATTTATATAGAAGGGAAACCCTTGGATTGACTAGTAGTACTTCATTAGATAATAACATAACATAACATATATTTTATTAGTCTTAAGCACATTAACAGCTCATCGACATTTACATACAATATGACACGTATTTGTAGTGTAATAGGACCGTATTTTGATAAAATATTTAGTTGTCAAATTTATACCATTCATTTGTCGTCCATTTTGGCTTCTTTCCCTAACGTTAAATCTGTTAAAGTCCTCTTGATTGGCTCTTTCGGTTATTAGATTACATTTTTATTTGGTCCACTTGATTAATATAAATCGATTAGTTCAGAACTTGTTATGAGAGTTAATTTGTGACCAATCAATCATCATATTATGCACTCTACTATGATAGTTAAGCATTGTCATGACTACCAAAAGTGTATAGATACCGGTGAATTTCTATATATTTGTCTTGGGAGCTGCCGACAGGTCAGTTCACTTCAAAGCTTTAGAGCTTTGGCACTCTTCAAAACTTAATAGTTTTGACTCTCTTTGAAATCTATTATGATTTTGAGAATTTAGGCAAAACTTATTAATAAATACTTAGGATTCTTTTTTAAATAAATAACTAGTTGTTGAGATTCTGCTTAAATATATAGTCTTGTTCGTACTTTTGGTAAATAAATTATACGATTGTCGTTTAAAATAAGTCTATGATTATCGTTTGAATAAATCTCGTAATGTTAAATTTATAAAGTCTTGTGTTATACCCTTTCTTAGGATAAGCAGTAAATTAAAGGTAGCGTCCTACACCACCCATCTCTAGCCACTGGTTGGCAATTAAGAGTTCAGAGAACCTGGGTAAAGTGCCGTTTAAAGAGATATCTTGTGATCACGTGTCGTCCGCATAGTAATTAGGCCATTTATATTTTAAGTCTGCTCCAGAGCGCCACTGAGTGTTGGCTCAAATCAGCTTGAACCACTGATAATAAACCGGCACTATTACATTGGTGCCGTGTACCACTGGATTTCTAATTGTCTATAACGCAACCACTATTACATTGGTGCCGTGACCACTGGACTTTTCATATTGTTTGTAAATCAACTATTAATTTTTGCTGTAACAGCTGAATTTTTGATTTTTGTAATACGTAGAGCGTTTATATTGAGATTTGTTTGGCGTACGTCTAGTATTTTATTTAATTTTGGCTGTTTCTTGTAACGGCATAGGGGAATTTATCATAGAGCCTATGTAAGTTTGTTTATATTTAAAAATACAGTACTTATTCAGATTCATATAATATAAAATACTCATTTTTCTAGTGTGTTACGTTAGTATATCGTCTGCATAAATTTTACTTTTGACGCACGATAAGTCGTGTGGTATTTTTCATGTAACGGTTAATCGAGTAAATATTGCTAGTGTGCATATAGCGCGAGGTGTGTATATGCGTTTGAACCGGTTTATACGTTGGGGTGTATAAAATAATGTATTGATTATAAACATAAAATAAAATTGGAAATATAAAGTAAAGTAAATGTGAATTTAGTGGACGCTCCTGTAAATAGGATATTAGATAATATAAAATAGAAACATTTAAGGGTTTACTATAAAATATTTAAAAACAAAAGTAAATTTAATTCTATAGGATTAATTATAAAATATAAAACACATAGTTATACTAAGTTGTCAAAACTTACTATCCGTGACCACTTGTAAAAATATTGTGTTAAAAAAAAAAAAAAAAAAAAAAAAGCTCTAAGTAAGAGTATCATTAAAGGTCTGTTTGTTGTTAAAGTTTAACTATTTAAATTGTATGAACAATAATATAACAAATTTTGAATTAATGTGATTTAACTTTAAAATTAACGTCTTTCTCATGGTTAAAAGTTGAAGTACAACTCAAGATATAAAATCATTTTGTTTTCTTACTTATAAGTGTTATCATTTAAGTATGGCTGAGGGGAAATTTACCTGATATATAATTCAGAAAGTAGATATGGTCCTTAAGTACCGTAGATATGTGATAGATAATTCGGGGTTCGATGCTCAGAATACGTTCACGCACGAGAACTTTAACTTTAAACACGCCTACATGTACTCCCGATATAAGGTCTTTTCAGTGAAACGGAAGGACAAGTTAACACGCATTTTTCACCTTAGGTATAGGGAAACTTTTCCATAATTACTTCTTATGGGTCTTGATTCATTTCTTGGTTCCCCTACTTTTAGACAAGAGTTTAGTACTTCCGAATAGTAAGATTTAGTTCACCACTCTCCCCTACTGTTCATGGTGATCACAAATGAAGGATTATTACGTATTGTGATAGTCATAGCTTACCTTGTATACAGAAGTGCTCTCGAGATGACTTAGATACGTCTATCCCGGGAGCTTAAAGGGACTGATTTTGATAAAAAGCCAGTGCTTTCCCTTTAAAAACTGGATTTCATACTGTTCCCTAATGTAACAGTTAGACATCTATAGCTATACTGAAGAGTTCACCCTCTTTAGTGACAAAGCGTAACATTAGTAGCGTTACGTCACCCGGTTTATGGTTAATACATGCCAGACACCAGTGCCTCATACTCTATCGAACCATTATTCGCAAAGTGTAGGTTTTCCGAGTAATTTATCTCGAGGAAACGCATTTGTATGGCCTAAACTTATAGTGCTCCGATGAAACACTATGTACTCGGGTATTACAAATACTTCGGCCATCTTCGGTTATGAATATAAGTCCTGATCATTTTCGATGGTACTTCTAGTGAATGGTCCGATTATATTATTCATTTTGAGCAAGTAGCCAACTGGAATGGTTGGGATGATCAACAAAAAGCATGCATGTTAACAATTATTTGCAACCGTTAACACCACAGACATTACTTCACGTGCGATCAGAGCATTCTTCTGATTCCTCAGCTGCGGGGAAGCACAGCGATTACTGTTCTACATCTACTTCTAACTGAAGTTATTCGCGAACCTAAACGTGCGTAACGCATAAGATTTATTAGTCCCACATCGACGGTGAGAGTCTGCCTTTATTCACGTCTCGGTGTATTCCGTAATCAGGCAAAGATGAGAGCAAAGTGGTGAATTCCTGTTACTTCGTACTTTTATGTAAGTTGCACTACGCAAAATTACGTGCTCAAAATGAAGCATTTCCTTTAATGCACAGTCGATGCTTTTAGAAACATGTTTATTCGATCAATATATTGCATGGATTGGTGCTCCTGTATTTGAATTAAGAGGAAGAGCCGACTTACAATTTACGCCATCCTATATACTTTGGATATTCACGCAATTAGTGCTGCCCGTACGAATTCTATGTCTGTACCAGGGCTCAGTACCGATAAATATGACTCAAAAACCCATATAGATGACTAGCAAGGTGATAACTACGTTATCCTCCGTTTGAATGCTATTTCGTCAACATCAGTTGCGTCCCTTAGACCTACAAACATTTAAAGACTGATTGTAGTTTAGACGAATTAAAGCAAATGATGTCTTTCTCTTTTTGATCAAAAGTTTGAGCAAAAATTTCAAGAAATGACACTGATTCTTACAACAAGAAAACATATGGAACTCAGTTTAGGCAAATAATCCCTCAAGATTTTTATCAAAACACTGGTATTGATAGGCCTTCAATGAGACGCAGTAATAGCCCTATGCGTAACTATAGTAACGCGTACCCCCACTACCAAGGTGTAAATCATAAATATGGTTCTACTACAAACACCAATTATAACTCCCAGTCTAGAAATCATCAAATATGACACAGGGAAATCTTTTTATGAGAAACCTAGCTTTAAAGACATACAGTGTACTTACTGTCATAAAAAAGGTCACATTGAGAGCCGTTGTTATGCTAAAAGAAATGCTTTGAATCAGGGAAACTAGGTCAGACTGAGGTTGAGGCCAAAACGTCAGTCAGTTCTCAATTGGTTAGGCCTATAGAATTTCAAAATGTACATATTAATAGTGAACCTCGTACACTTGTTTGTACTTCGTCTCAATCTAAGGTAGATAACATTCTTACCAAAGTTTCTTTGCCAGAAATGACGTATAGTTCAAATTTGAATTATAAAAGCAAAGCTAATAAACAGTGTATTCCAGAAATTATAGTTACACCCCCTCCAAATGATGTTAAAAATGACCAAAAGCTTATTTCTTTAGAAATTCCTAGTAAAATTGAGGGTCAAGAAGTAGTACAACCCAAACCGGAAGTTATGGGTCATAAAGTATATCGTTCTCAAAACGAAAGTGAAAGTAGACCTTTAGCTTTCAAAACTGAAAGTTGTCAAAAATCTGTCACTTCAGACCAAAACTTAATCAAACATAACTCTGGGAAAAGTGAATTAGTTTCAGAACTTAAAAATGTTGACAAAACTTCTTGTTATTATGTAAAAGTAGATTTAGGTTCTCTTAAAGGAGGAATGTTAATTGATACTGGAAGCCCAGTTTCTATTTTGTCAAGTTCATGCTATAAAAGGCTTCAGAATAAACCCAAATTAGACTTTACAAATATACCATTGTCTACTGCTAATGGAGCAAAATTACAAACTGCCGGGAAATGTGTATTAAACTTTGAAATAGAGCATATTTCTTTCTCTTTCGCATTTGTTGTAGCTGACATAGAAGAGAAAATTGGCATATTAGGCATTGATTTCTTTGAGAATTATAATGCAAGTCTTCAAATACACAAACGTATGCTAAAAACAAGATTAGGAAAAGTAAGAATTCATAACTTCAGCACTAGAATATGTACAATGGTACAGTTCACTGACTTACTTCCTAGGAAAGAAGCATACTTAAACAACTTAAATCATAGTAACATGAGTGTGTTAAGTCCAACGCACAAGTACTGGTTTGTTGATAAAGAAGATAATGGTACAAACATGCATAAATATGCATTTGTGACAAATGAAACGAAATCCTTGGGATTATTAGATTTAAACCCTACTTTAAGCCATCAGTCTTATTCAATCTTTGAGAGAACCAAGCAATTGCAAATCAAGACAAAGATAAATATGCAAGAACTGATGACATGGCTAAAAAGAGTAAAATATCACTTTAACAGGATAATCTATATCCCAGATTTAGACTTATGTACAAAATGGATTGTAAGGAAAAATACAAGGTTTAAGTTATGTAGTCTTTTAGAGCTTGTATCAAGTTTTGCTAGATAAAGATAATTAGTACTTTCTCATTTGTGGGTAAAAGGAGATGAATATGATATACATCATTTTACTTTAATTAATGAAATGCACAGTTGTATGCATTGCATAATGTGTTGATACACATAAACATAATTTGATTTTTGTTAAAAGTTTTATAAATCATTGTGTTTGTAAAATCTTATTGAAAGTGAATAGAATACAAATACTTTTATTTATTCTGTTTAAGTACACTTTCAACATAGTACATCTGAAGGATTGTCATTGATTATTATACAATTTGTTTTTTTGTTTTGTTTTTTAAAACAAAATGTTAATTTTTGTTTAATTTTTCAGACTTCATGCATATGTAAATGAGGTTGATTATCCAACACAAATACTGTATGCTTGGATTTGTGGAACATCATGGACATCCATACTCCGTCAGCTACGATGTAATACCTGTTCGATTCCTGATTGGTCTACTGAAAGACATTTAATTAACTAGCAGGATCTACAGTGTATATATAATAAAAACATTGAAATAGTGTAATGTTTTGTTTGACGGACTAATTATGTTTATTTTATTTGATGTTTCATTTTAGCATATGTTGACATTGTGTTTTTATATATTTATGATAGACGTACTTTTGTAGTTTTACATATTTCCAAATTAATTTTTTTGTTTCAAAAATTTGATAGTTTCTAAAGTAAGTGGTATTCTCGCTTTTATGAAAAAAGAATTACTTTTCAAATTGTACAGTATTTCTTGTTTTTTAAGGAAGGAGGAATGTAATAGGACCGTATTTTGATAAAATATTTAGTTGTCAAATTTATACCATTCATTTGTCGTCCATTTTGGCTTCTTTCCCTAACGTTAATCTGTTAAAGTCCTCTTGATTGGCTCTTTCGGTTTAGATTTACATTTTTATTGGTCCACTTGATTAATATAATTCGATTAGTTCAGAACTTGTTATGAGTAATTTTGACCAATCAATCTTATAGTTAAGCATTGTCATGACTACCAAAAGTGTATAAATACCGGGTGAATTTCTATATATCTTGTCTTGGGAGCTGGCCGACAGGTCAGTTCACTTCAAAGCTTTAGAGCTTTGGCACTCTTCAAAACTTAATAGTTTTGACTCTCTTTGAAATCTATATGATTTGAGAATTTAGGCAAAACTTATTAATAAATACTTAGGAATTCTTTTTAAATAAATAACTAGTTGTTGGTAGATTCTGCTTAAATATATAGTCTTGTTCGTACTTTTGGTAAATAAATTATACGATTGTCGTTTAAATAAGTCTATGATTATCGTTTGAATAAATCTCGTAATGTTAAATTTATAAAGTCTTGTGTTATACTTTCTTAATAAGAGTAAATTAAAGGTAGCGTCCTACACCACCATCCTAGCCACTGGTTGGCAATTAAGAGTTCAGAGAACCTGGGTAAAGTGCCGTTTAAAGAGATATTTGTGATCACGTGTCGTCCGCATAGTAATTAGGCCATTTATATTTTAAGTCTGTCCAGAGCGCCACTGAGTGTTGGGCTCAAATCAGCTTGAACCACTGATAATAAACCGGCACTATTACAGTAGCATGCGTAATAATTATAATCATGTTTACAGAAATAGAAAAACACATACATTATAAACAAAACACAAAACACAACGGCTACACACAATAATAAACAGCGAGAATTCATATACTTTTTAAAAAAAACCAGAAAACTTGGTAAATACGTCATCTATTATGACACTATTATGTTGAAAAGTACACATTCACTGTTCGAACACTATTTGATCTCTCTAAAAAATGATTGTCTGATTCTAAAAGCCTTAAGAATATATAATGCTAGCTTGATAAGCACATTTTTATTGGTCGAATTTAAAATATCAATGAACTTGTAAACACTTGCATGATTACAATAATAGTCACTTATATACTTCATTCTGATGTCTCTATATAATTTACATGTTAAAACGAAGTGGAATTCGTCTTCAGTGTCATTCATGTCACATAGCATACACTTTCGCTGATCTCTCGGCACTGCATTTTCAAAGTGTCTTGCCTTTTCTATCATTAAATCATGCGATCCCATACGTATCTTTGCAATTGCTCTTTGAGTTATATTTCCATGAACTGCTGTTTTTAGGGTTTATTTTTGTTGTTTGTTGTTGTTTTTTTTGTTGTTGTTGTTTTTTTGTGTTTTTGTTTGTTTTTGCTTTGTTTTAGTTAAATATACATATATTATGCTCACCTGGATTAACAAGTCTTTCAATTCTGCGTTCACTGATATTTGCAAGTTCGTGGACAGCAATAGCTAGGTAATCAAGCACCTGTAAATTATAATATTCATGTTTATATGTTTTAAAAAGCAGTAAATGTATTGTGGTACTTTGTTGGGAATTGAGAAAGGAAATATGTCTTGTCTAATTACATAGTTTTCTGATATCTACAAACTTAGAAACACAAATTTGATTTACCATAGAAGTTCTTAGCTTAGCTTGCACGAAATTAAAGCCACCATAGCAGTTTTTAATTATTTGTACTTTACCTTTGCTGGGTATTCTCCATGAAAATTACCGCCTGATATTATCTCTTGTAGATCTGCAAACACCATCTAATATGTTGTTAAGAATTAAACATAAAAACAACATCGACTCGTCATCACGATACTTGTTGAACAAAAGACTTGACAACTTAAACAACATGTTTGCTAATTGTACTACTAGTATGTGTCTTATATAATTGCAATAGGTTCAAATCAAATTGCATGGTCTTTCATGTCTGGAAAAACTTTCAGGTTCATTCTTTGAACAGAAACTAACAGGAATATAAAAAACTTGTATCATATCTTTGCAATTGGTGTGATTAAGTACAGCGAGCAAAACAATACGCTTTAGAATTAAACTGTGTTCCCCTTATTCCTATTGTTCATTGATTAAAGGCATATATTTATATGTATATACGTGACAATATTGTGGAAGTCACGTGTTAAACCCGAGATCATCTATACAATGACAAAGGATACAGGGTTATCAGTTGCACTGTTAATTTCAGTTGTAATCACACCATGAACAAATTCCACTGTGTCCGCTGTTATACCGTGGACCTGTTAAAAGATAATGAACGCTTATGTAACATGCGATAGCTATAGTTTCACTTATGACAAAGAGTTTTTATTTTAGTACAATTATGGGTTAAAACCTTGACTGTTCACATATTTGTGATAGAAGCGTGTCATCAAAGGAACACTGGAATAAGCTGGTCCAACAAAACAAGTACATCATTATCTAAGTTCCTTACCGAAGTCTTTAACAAGAGTGTAAATTGTTTGACTTTGTAACTTATTTTCAATTAAAGTTTGAAATATCTGTAGGTTTGGTTATACTTCTTATATGAAAACTGTTACATTTTGTACTTATAAAACAATCAAGCCGAGTAGGGATTTTGCTACTTTTTCTTTTGTTAATTTAGGTAAGTGGATAACAGATCAGTACTCACCTGTGGGGTACATCTCAGAGTATAGGCATCTTGAACTCGGTCGCAAAATCGATGACTTTCTATAGTAATGAAAATATATAACATCAATCAATTTTGATATTGTATATATTCGTATCCAATACTACCAGCGAGTTAAATTAATGAATTTAATGGTTCGCTTCCTATCAACAAACACATTATACACGTAATTTGTAAGTGTGCCTATATCTTTGTCCTGCTTGTCTTTTCTATCTATCTATCTGACTGACTGACTGACTGACTGATCTACTGGTGTTTTTGTGGGGGGTCGGTTTGTGTTAACGTGACATTTACTCAAGGAAAGCTTGTGTACAAGAAAAGAAGACAAGTATTGAAAGAGAAAAAAAGTTCTATCGGCAAATAATTACAAACATGCGTTCCTTAAAGACCCATTATGCCCCAAAATGCTTTAATTCTTTTTTCTCAAAAGCTTTTTTATTTTTGGTGTCCTGTGATATGTTCCAAAAAAAGTTATTGGCCATTTACCTGAACTATCTTTTGCTTCTGTTTGTCCTTTGGTAATTAGTACAGTTATAGTGATTTAGTAAATCGAACAGAAGTCGAAATACTACTTTGTTTACATTTTGCTACTTTTATGACAAATAGTTTCACAACCAGCGCTTCTTTCTTCAGGTGATAAGCATCTAATGTGCTATTTAACCACAATAAAGTGTTAGAATACTCATGTTTCGCCTTTCTAAAGAATGAAAAAAAATCGTTTCTGATAATGTGCCTTTAATTATTTACTTTAACAAAGTTCATACCTGCGATCTCTGAAGGATGTGTTTCAGAATGAAGAAGAGACCGAAGTCTGCGTGCAACTTTCATTTGTCCAGGGTGTGGTCGGACACGATGAATATCTTTAAAATGAAAATAATGGCATGATATATCTAAAGTTACAAAATAAATGTCATATTAATGTGAAATTGTCCAAGTAATGTGAAAATTTCTAAACTCGTTATGTTATCTTACGCTGCATACATTGATATAAATATCGATAAATCAAGCTTTAGAAGAGCAGTCTTAGTTGTGAAAAGAAATGGAATAAATGGCATTTATGTTACTTAATATATTTTTGTTGTTATTGAAAGAGATATCACCATTAAAAATATTGTTTTTGTCTACTTGTAGTTTAAAAGACCGGCATTATTAGATCTTAAAAATGAATGTACAATTTGCCATGTATATAGTAGTATGATAAGAATTATTTCAATCCGCCATAGAAAAGAGTTTCGATAAAGGAAGATCTAAACAATATTATTGTGTATAAAACATACTGCTGTCAAACGCCCTTGTAGTGCCTTTCAAAACTTCCAGCGATAGCGCGGATATGATGTCCGCTTGGCGGCAAATTGAAGCTGCTCTCTCAACGGCTACAATTATTTAAATATACAAATGTATATGTATAATGTCAAGAATGTTGAAGTCATGGGAGTATGGTGGCTAATTTGGTACACTTTACGCGTTACGTTGTCGATGGCGACAACACAGCATTTATCGTTATCGCCTTTTCGTCATGTCGCTAGCGAAGCACGCCAAACGGCGCGTTGTCGTGTGACACTTTGTTGCGATGTCGCCCTGTCGCTTTGCTTATAAGCCAATCCTTCGATTTGAGCCGAGCGATATCGGGACAACACTCCGTCACGACAACGTTGCCGTTTGGCGTGCCTTGTTTAGCGAACAGGATGGCAAGACGAAAGTCCGACAACGCGCCGTTTGGCGTCTCGTCGTGCTGTCGCTAGCGACAACACAACGCACAAACGTTCCAAATCAGCCACCATAAGAGAGGGTACCTGAGAAGAACGACCAATCTTCCATAAGCTACAAAGATAACTTCTTTATATGAAAGAATTCCGAGTCTTTGTGTTTTTGAAACTAGATTAATTTCTTTGTAACGAAAATAATGACATAATATATTAAGTGTCTAAGTAATGTAAAAATTCTTTCAATTGACACTAGGCGGTCAAAACATTTGCTTTTGCTATATTTTCATCATTTATTCATTAAAACATATATTTGTTGCAATAATGTAAGTTTAAACTAATAAAATGCACGTATTAATTTTAATTTATCTTCTTTTTTTCATGCCCGTTGTCATTACAAGAAGCTAAAATAATGGCATATTTTACTACAACACTGCACACATTCAACTTTTCTTCTTCCTTACTTAACTATTAAGAAGAAATAGGTTATTTTAAATGATCATTCATTACCTTCTGCACCAAGTGATGTGATAAGTTGAGTTCCATTGATCAGTGCCAGTCCCTATTATTAAATATTTAAATGAGATTATCTAAGGACTGTATTACTAATTATATATAAATACCACAATAAATTTAAACATAAAACAAATATTTCAAATTCGAAATTGAAGCATACTTTTTTCTATAAGTAAGGCTGACTTAGAAGAAAGTTATATCTTCATTATATCTTTAAGGAAATGGTGCTTTAAAGCAGCACGCCTCCTAGCTTCGTGTTAATTTTCATAGATTTTTTTGTAAAATAATGCGAGGTGAACAAATTAAGTATTTAACATATTGCAATCGGCACTAACAATCCACGAAAATTACCAAAAAGAGGTCAACATATGCAAAAAACAGTCTTTACTGCGTAACGCAGTAGAAATATGGCGATAAAATACTGCAAAATCAGTGTTAAACCGCACATAACATGTAAAATATAACTTGGATCTTGAATGTCTTTTATCTTTCTTAAAAGTTTAGTGCATTTTCTCAATACTGATTTTCTTGAAACATTTTGAATCATCTGAAGGCGTGCAGCATTAATAGGAAATAGTTTTTTGATAAGAATAAACATTATACTACATGTATTTTCTTATCAGAATCTAAAATGACAGAAATAAGGAGTTACCTCCTTTGGTCCTAGTTTAATTGGTTCAAGGTTGTTTGATTCTAAAACCTGGAATACAATATTAGATATCACGGCAAAAGATACGTGTCATTAAATATACCATAATTCCTATAGGAAGTATCAATAAAACATTTAATGTACCGTTATTCCGTTATTCCTATACGAAGTACTAATATTTAAAGCATTTAATGCACCATAATTCCTATAGGAAGTACTAATGAACCATTTAATGCAACATAACTCATAAACGAAATACTAAAATATCACGTCATGCTCCATAATTCCTATAGGAAAAACTAATAAAGCATTTAATGCACCATAATTCATATACGATAACTATTTAAGCATTCCATGCATAATAATTCTATAGGAGGCATAGTACATCTTGCGGTAAATACTTGTAAAGCATTATGATTATGACTGTTTTAATTCTTTTAGTGCCAGACACTTCAAACAGATATAAATTAAAAGTGAAATTGACCAAATACTTAATACCTAAGCATTTAGATAAAACGTGTATATTTTAAACCAAGTATTTTCTTATTCGAAAAAAAATATACGTACGTATTTAGCGTCGGCCCACCCACTTCTTGGGCTCCACATCTTACCTTCACCCATCATACCTAGTGCCAAATGCGACAAAGGTGCAAGATCTCCACTCGCGCCTACAGTGCCTTTCTCGGGAACCCATGGCAAACATGAAGCTACGAAACAAAAGTACGTTATGACACTAATTATTACTCATCACTTTAACTCTGTAACAGTGTCTATTGATAGAAACATTAATACTATTGTTCCTGCAACTTGAGCTACGTTGACTAATTGTGGCTCAAGTTGCATAAAAGGTAGCATTAAAATAATTTATTCGCATTCTACGTGACGATAACTTTTAAGACTATAGTATAAATAAAATTGTATTGGTATAGTGAAATGACACGTGGTACAGTCAAATGACATGTCGATCTATCGTTGCTAAAGTAACATTTAAAGAAATTTTCTTTAATGAAATCCGAGAACGATATTTTTATGTTCTGTCATTTAAATCTCTACTTACCATTAAATGCAGCTATGTATTTCTTTAAATTTTCAATGGATATACCACTGAACCCCTTAGCTAAAACATTTATTCTCAAAGCTAGTAACATACGGGTTCTTTCCGGTGACAATGGATTACCAACCCCTTAAAACAAATAAAGTGTGGAGTCGTAAGTCGAAATAGTAAATGTAAAAAATGTTATGCAGTTCTTCTTTTTTTTAATGAATTTATATGCTATCAAAATATAATTATAGGCAAATAGGAAGCTATATATTTATCAATATTAATTAAAATATAATTACATGTGTATAAATAGTTTAAGATGAATTAAATGAATAATTACGTAGTCAATAAGTTTAGAGTAAGTTTAGAGAAATATGAGCCGCGTCACGACAAAACCAACATAATGGGTTTGCGACCAGCATGGATCCAGACCAGCCTGCGCATTCGCGCAGTCTGATCAGGATCCATGCTGTTCGCTTACCAACCCTATTACAAGTAGAGAAACTGATAGCGAACAGCATGGATCCTGATCAGACTGCGCGGATGCGCAGGCTGGTCTGGATCCATGCTGGTCGCAAACGCACTATGTTGGTTTTGTCGTGACACGGCTCATATGTCTTTACAGTGGAGATTGCGAGTACAAAACGGTAAAGATTTAGTATGAATTACAAAGAGATTGGTCAACAACATAATGTAAAAAGATTACCAGCTGCGTGAGATCGAATCAGATTTTCTTGAAGTTCACTGTAAACATACATAAAAACACAATGTATATCTAATGAATAAAGCTATGTACAAGTCATTACAAACGAAAGACACATACACTAGGAAACTAACATTGTACATAACATATCTGTAACACTCATGAGTGACTTGGATTTTAATGCATTAACCCGCATGAATAAAACCATGCGACAAGTGTAGAGCAAGACCAGAAGGTATATGAGCCGTGTCACGACAAAACCAACATAATTGGTTTGAGCCGCGTCACGACAAAACCAACATAATTGGTTTGCGACCAGCATTGATCCATGATGTTCGCTTACAAACCCTATAACAAGTAGCGGAACTGATAGCGAACAGCATGGATCCTGATCAGACGTACTGCGCGGATGCGCAGGCTGGTCTGGATCCATGCTGGTCGCAAACCCATTATGTTGGTTTTGTCGTGACACAGCTCATATCCATCTATACATGGTCTGTACTGTTTGCAATTCAGTCAGTACCTATTAATTATGAAAATTTCCCTAAACTGAGAAATGGTTTTGTCCAGATTGAAAGATGGTCAATTCCATTTAAGATATTCAGCGTAGTAAAGTTTAAACAAGCTTATGTCTACTTACACTAGCTTTTCTTTGCCGATAACCGTCCGTGCAAATTTTCCAAATCCAGTTGTTATTCCGTATACAACTGAAAATAAATGCATTCATTCTGTATGAAATTATCAAACTGTAGAAATCAATAGGACATATATGTACATGTTTACAAGAAAATGAAATGCTGCTTTCAATTAAATACTAGTACTGCTTAAATCATTTGCAATTTGGCAGTGATGCGCAGCATTCTAGATTTCCTATTTTGACTTCTTTAACGTCAAAAGACTATTAAAATTATTCTGTGAAATTATTCTGTATCACGTTTCTAACAAGAGCTGCATATAATTAGTTTTGACATAATTATTGCAATATAACGGGTGAATACAAAATATTTAATCAGCTATAAACATTGAGTATCATCAATGACACAGTTACTTCTTTAGATGATACATCTTGAATGCTTTGTATCACAAAGATATTAACTGATGACATATGAAAAGGCAAATACAAGTGGCTCATTCAAATTTTTATCAATTAAGTTCTAACAAGAGTGACAGTTTAACATGTTCAATACAAAAAGGTGTGATTGCATTTACACTATTAATAATCAAATTAAATGATCAAGCTTAAAGACAGTCCGGTTTATAAATTGCAGATATCATGTGGGTATCATTTCCACGAGAGTCACTTCATTTCTGGAATATTTTCAATCAAGCCAATTGGAAAATTTTATATTACATGGCATTCTTCATATTGTTTGTGGATTTGTTAAAACAATAAAATGTTAGCAATATCAAGCAACAATCATTTTGCTATATTCTGAATCACATCAAATGTATTTTTCTTTCTAAATGTATATAGTGACATTTTGATTTCATAGATACTTTGTTCATACCTTTATTTTGGTTTACTATATCCTCGAGTAGACTTCTTGCTTTGTTAACTGCAGCCTCAGACTCGGGCGTTAACTGGTAAAATATATACATATATAAGTTGCATATCAATTATCGACATTTAAAACATCAAATTTCTTCTTTCAGAATACGAGTTTGTAGCCAACGAAATAGACTTCTATATCAAATCCTTATTTAAAAATTATATGTAGTTAAAACCAATTCTTTTTTATATACCTGCACTTTATTTCGTGATATCATGAATTTAATAAAAACAAAATATCTTTACAATATGTATATATGTAAATGCAATGTTAAAGAGTGGCAAGCGAAATGTTCGGTCGCAACACCAACAACATAATAATAGTTGCAACTGAGGTGCATACACTTTACAATTTCTAAAACTAGGTTTTCTGTTCTTGAGTTTGGTGTCTTGTTTGTGTAAAGTTTTAATTTCTCCTCTTTTTTTTTGATTTTTTTTTTTTTTGATAATGTTAAATTTATCGGTTTTAAGAACCTTGAAAAGTAAAATAAAGTTCATATAAGGTTACAGTCTATCTCTAATGTCAATGATAAGGCATAACAGAGTGTCAAGGCCAATCTTGAAATAACTGGTAAAGTTTACAAATGTGTGTACAACAAACAGATACTAGTATAACTAAGGTGCAGTCTTCTTAAACAGGTAATAAAATTAGTTTCCATTTAAACATATGACCTTCATGTTATCTTGATAGAGATTGTGACAATAATTGCGAAAAAAAAGAACGTAAAGTGCACTAATAATTAACGGACTAGAATAGCTTTGCCGTAAACAAAATATTTACAATTAAAGACGTCATATACCACGATTAAAATCATTTTACTTATTACTCAATGTTATTTCTTCATTTCATACTTACTTTCAAAAGGAAGTGACCTTTTCCCAAGCGAACCAAATCATCTGGATTGAGACTATTTCCATCTACTGATAAATACTGAAAAATAAACCTACTGATAAGTACTGAAAAAAACAAACCTATTGAATAATAATGAAAAACAAACCTACTGACAAATCCTGAAAAACAAACCCTACTGATAAATACTGAAAAAGAAATATACTGTTAAACACTGAAAAACAAACCTACTGATAAATACTGGAAAAAACCTACTGATAAATACTGGAAAAAAACCTACTGATAAATACAGGGAAAAAACCTACTGATAAATACTGGAAAAAAACCTACTGATAAATACTAAAAAATAAACCTACTGATAAATACTAAAAAACAAACCTACTGATAAATACTGAAAAATAAACCTGCTGATAAATACTAAAAAATAAACCTACTGATAAATACTAAAAAATAAACCTACTGATAAATACTAAAAAACAAACCTACTGATAAATACTGAAAAATAAACCTACTGATAAATACTAAAAAATAAACCTACTGATAAATACTAAAAAATAAACCTACTGATAAATACTGAAAAAAAATCTACTGATAAATACTAAAAAATAAACCTACTGATAAATACTAAAAAAATAAACCTACTGATAAATACTGAAAAAAATCTACCGATAAATACTGAAAAAAAAACCTACTGATAAATACTAAAAAATAAACCTACTGATAAATACTGGGAAAAAACCTACTGATAAATACTAAAAAATAAACCTACTGATAAATACTAAAAAACAAACCTACTGATAAATACTGAAAAATAAACCAACTGATAAATACTAAAAAATAAACCTACTGATAAATACTAAAAAATAAACCTACTGATAAATACTGGAAAAAAATCTACCGATAAATACTAAAAAATAAACCTACTGATAAAATACTAAAAAAGAAACCTACTGATAAATACTGAAAAAAATCTTCTGATAAATACTAAAAAATAAGCCTACTGATAAATACTAAAAAATAAACCTACTGATAAATACTAAAAAACAAACCTACTGATAAATACTGAAAAATAAACCTGCTGATAAATACTAAAAAATAAACCTACTGATAAATACTAAAAAATAAACCTACTGATAAATACTAAAAAACAAACCTACTGATAAATACTGAAAAATAAACCTACTGATAAATACTAAAAAATAAATCTACTGATAAATACTAAAAAATAAACCTACTGATAAATACTGAAAAAAAATCTACTGATAAATACTAAAAAATAAACCTACTGATAAATACTAAAAAAATAAACCTACTGATAAATACTGAAAAAAATCTACCGATAAATACTGGAAAAAAACCTACTGATAAATACTAAAATACAAACCTACTGATTATACTGAAAAATAAATCAACGGATAATACTAAAAAATAAACCTACTGATAAATACTAAAAAACAAACCTACGTACTGATAATACTGAAAAATAAACCTACTGATAAATACTAAAAAATAAACCTACTGATAAATACTAAAAAACAAACCTACTAATAAATTCTGAAAAATAAACCTACTGATCAATGCTAAAAAACAAACCTACTGATAAATACTGAAAAATAAACCTACTGATAAATACTGAAAAACAAACCCACTAATCCATACTGAAAAACAAACAGTAAAATGTAAATTAGCTTATAATTAGTTTACAAAAATTAATATGCATGTCTAAAACTTGCTGTGATTTGATTCATCTATTTTGTAAAGAACTATGATATATGAGAGAACCATAATATAATATATGAATCTCACACTAAAGATCTTGTAAAATAAAGTCAACGATCTTTATCCATAAAGCTTTAAAAATTTACATGTTTTAAAACTGTGTTTTTCTATTCACAAATACAATGTATTTGTTCTTATCAAGAAATAGTTTAGATCTACATAGAAAGCAAGTATTAGTTTTATAATTACTTATATGTACTAGAATGAAATTGCAATGAACTAATATTTAAGTAGAATTACTTTTTGGGATTTTTTTTGGGCGGGCGGGGGAGTGGGGGCGGACAACAAACTTTCTCTCGCTGAATATTTTTTTTTCATCTTATTGAAATAAATAAACGATATTTACCTCTGTTGGTGTTGTAACGTCTGCAGTGGCACTAGATCAATGTTAAGAAATCAACCGTTTGTTCTTTCGTTTACAGTCAAATCAAAATTCATGGTTTGGTATATTAACCAAAAATACAATCATATGTTAAAATGTTATTGCTTCTTGTAGTTCCAATATACCATGAATGAAATATTGTAAGTTGACATGTTTTACCCATTTAACAAGTCCAAGACAAAAAGAGAAAGTGTCTTTAGTGGAATTATTAAAACTGAAAAACATAGATTACATTACTTGAAAATGAAAATGTTACATAAGGACGACTTGAAACTATCAAGTACAATAACTTTTTTAACAAATGTCTTAGTGTGTACTGAAATATGTTATTCTTAAAGGATACACTTTTTCCTCGAGGTACACAGGCTCGGCTGGTCCAGTAATGGGACTTGACATATCACTTTGGAGAACTTGCGATTAACATAAAATTATAATGACAATATCGTGATGAAAATTGAATTACAATGCTGATATATGATCAATAAAAAATTTACCCCTAAAAAAACAAACGTTTAGTTAAAGTGTACGAAAGACCGGTGGTGACAATTCTTTGGTTCATCTTTAGGATTATTTCAACATGAAAAATTCACGGGTTCACGATTTCAACTTCATTTATTCAAGATTTTAACTTCCTGAATTTACGATTTCATCTTCGTAAAATTGAAATCGTAAATTCTTGAAGTTTTATGAAATCGTGAAGTTCAAATTATGAATTCTTGAAATTGAATTCATGAAGTTGGAAATGTGAATTCATAAAGTTTAAGTCGTGAACTTTTGAAGTTGAAATCGTGAATTCGTGAAGTTGAAATTCACAAAACTGAAATAGTGAGGTTCAAAATTTGAATTCGCGATGATGAATTCGTGGAGTTGAAATCGTGATTCGTGAAGTTGAAATCGCGAGTTCACGAGGTTGAAATTGCAAACTCGTTGAAAAGACAAAAGTAAAAATTGTGGATTCACAAAGATGAAATTGGGAAATTTTAAAGTTGAAATGTCCCCATCGGTCTTGCAAATGACTGCTGTGATATCCAGTCCTGCATCTTAGTGTTGTTATATTGATTTGCTTCTTCAGGATTGTTGATGCTCGAATTGAATTAAATAGAATTGAATACTGGGTGATCTGGCGGTAAAAGTCCCTGCCGTTATCTCTTACTAACAGACTTATTAAAATCGAGTCTGCAATATTCAACTTCTTGTTTCCTTATTTTCATTTCTCCCCAATTTATCCCCAGTTCCGGACTTTTATGTGAAAATATAATTATAAGTATTACTTATTTTCATATTCAGCCATGTACCGAGTTTCAACGGTTTTTACATTACATAAAAGGGATTATATAGATCAAAAGATAAAAAATGGAATAAGCTTGAACTCTTGGTTTAAATAACATTTACCACACACATCAAATATTTCTTAAACTTACCGACAGTAACAAAGTCATTATCATCAAGAACGTCTTTAATTGAATCATCTGGGTCCAGTATTGCACCTCCTTTAGCTTTCCTCACTTCAAACACCTTCTCGTTCTTGTCTTCAATATTGTGTTTGTTGTAGTACCTCTTTAACGACTCCTCACCGAACCACCTAACTTTTTCGTTAGCTTTACATGGCACTGCAAACCAGTCACCACGAATTCTCACCGATAGTTTCATTGTTACAGGTCAAACAATGTAAATTTAGAAATTAAAATGTTTAATTAATTATCAGACTTGTCGACGATATTGGCAGAAAATTCAATGTTTTTCTATAATGTTCACAGTTAAGAAATGTGTATTTAGAGTGGTGGAGAATAAAATCTAAAATGTCACAATCGCGTCATATGGCGATATACAGATGATCGTTGACACGCTCTTATCTTTAAATTGTGACACTGTCATTGAACTTTAGACCGAATTCCTTGCAGTAGCTATTTTGAAAAAGAGGAACAAGTCGACTGTATTGCGGTCGATCGTCAAAATGACGTTTTTCACTAACTATATCGAATTAATTTTAACGAGATAGTTAATAAAGTTCGGTGTAAAATCGTAATTTACATTTCACAAAAAAAATACAAGGTTAAACATTTTCATAAGTGACATAATCAATATGAGTTAAGATGTAACAGCTGATATTCACGAGTGAAATTTAGTTTAATCTTGTATTAAAGATAGAAAGACTTAGTAATAGAAAGAGCATCGAAACACGAGGCTATCTGATTTGTAAGAGGTGCGTAGCCCCCAAGTATAAATCAGATTACCGAGTGTTTGATGTTCTTTCTCTTTTGTATCATAGTCAAACATAAAAACACGTTCTCTGTTGTCACAATATGAAGCCCCAGAACAAAAGTATCCAATGAATGAGCATCGGAATATGATATTTCTATCGCTTTCCATTTCTCTGCTGTCACAAAAAGTAAACCCCAACAAAAATGAGCCAATCAATGGGCATGCTCTGGAGTGCGGGTAACTAATACCTTCACTCCAGTTAACGCACTGTGCATGTATATGTATACGATTTAACTCTGACACATTTTCAACAGAAAGGTCCCCAAACTATGATACAACATTTCCTTAAAGCATTAACTATAATTATTATTAAGCCATGCTGTCAAAATATTTATGCTGACGAATCCTAAACATTCGGGAAATTCTAAGTCGTTATTGATACAGGTAATCATCAGCATTCAAATACATATATAGCTTGGCTACACAAAAATAAGACCTTGGTTTTTTTAAACTTTCTTTTCTGTGAAATTATCATAAATATATTACATGTACATTTAGTTACCTTTTTTAAAAAGTATATCTCATATATATGAGGTACTTTTTATTCTAGCCAAATGGGAAACTTCCGCACATTAATTATGTTTCTCTGTTGGGTCTCATATATTTTCAGAAAGTAAGACTTCTATATTCCGGTCCATGATACGACAATGGTTTCAAGTAAAATTGTCAGGTGTTTCGCTGCTATATTGCTCATCGTTATATTTTAGTTCTAAACTAAAAATGCACCCATTAATTAGCATAGCTTAATATAATTTTTAACAAGTCACTCCGACAGTGTCACTGCTATTGAAAACGTAGCTTAATTTCGTTTTAGTCTTATTTTGCATATTTGTGATGAAAGACATTTTATTTGTAGCATATAGCTTTATATTTCTCTTGTGTTGAATTCTTATTCATCCAAATTCCGATCATTTTTTATGATGATATCTAAGATATATTTAGATATAGAACGCAATTTAATATAAACATGCATGTTGCATATGTACTATATAAACTTGTTTTAAACTGGATAGCTTATGTTTTATTATTGTCTTTAAATAACATTTTGTAAACGTTAAATTCTGGCTAATCTTTAATTCGCCGATTTACAAAATTCTCTATAACCCAATTTTTTGACTCTTTTAAGTGATTTTACTTATCAGTTTTGAAAAAAATTTTTTTTTTTGACAAACAGTTATCATTGATACAAAGCAGCTTTTATACATGTATTTCTTTTCATGATATTAATTACTGTCTAAAGATGATAAGATCGTTTGTTAAACTTCATTTTGACTTCACGTGAATTAGTGTTGAACTTGGGAAAGTTAAATCTTCAGAAAATATCAATTGTAAGTCGCGAAAAAAAAAAACTAAAATAATTTTTATCACGACAACTCTTTTATTTCTATTTAACAATGAAAAGATAGTCTTATATGCATATCCTCATTTTCTATGAAATGATCAAAAATAGAATGCCCAAAACGGCACAATTGAAAATGTTGCAGGCTCGATTTGATTTCAAAGCAAGTTTGTTGGTTTACATGCAACTTACCATTCACGCTCCATTGTGAACTCTGCATTTAATAAACAGTAAAATAGGAGAAGTTCCATATTCAGTGTTGAAAGAAGAATTGTTCAGGAGAAACAGGCAATACATAATGTATTTGAGAGAAAGTCAGACAAAATTAGTGTTAATAAAATGACATATTGAATGTCAATGCTACCACATCCCGACATGTTTTCAGTTGAAAATTATGACTGCAGGTGGCTGTAAATTCTGGTACATATAATTATTAACGGTTAATTTAGAATTTCGTAGTATAAAAGTTAATGGCTGAGAAGGATTGAGAAAAATTTAACAGTGGATGCATATGTGACTATAGTAAGCCGGGTAGGTGGTATTATAACATAAGGATGCATAAGTCATGCAACCTGGCTGTGTACTGTAGAATTATGTACTTATAATTCCTTTATGTTATCACTATAGCAAGTCTATACTTCCCATGATTCTCTGTAACACGTATTCCCGCCTAAATGTGTGCAGCTCCAGACACTTGGAATTAGTAAATAAAACAGTCAAGACACACTTTGTGTTAGTTGTTTATACAATGACTTAGATGTCATTATAATATTATGGACTATTGTCTATACAAAGTATACCAATTAAATATTACATACGATCTCGTAAAACACCATCAGTCTGGCTGACTAGCACCATGCAGTCATTCTGTTACCAAGAGAGCACCAATGTAACTTAATTTTAATCATGTTTATAAGGATGTTGTTGGGGGAATCATCGCTGGTAACCTATCGAGCAGTCTGTAATGTACCATCTCAAGTTTAAGTTTAATGGCTGTACATAATATAAAGTTTGTTGTGTGTTGTTTAGTTCATTATCACCAGAAAGTTTCATTTTTCATTGACTTGTAACATCTCACATGATTTTATTCAAATAGATTTATTTTCGGGTTGTAGAGGGGTCTGTGGGAAACTGTTGTAGCTGATCTGGATTGGCGCCGTACACCAAATTCTTAAGGAATCTTGCTAACACATTGTTAGAGGGAATAAAAAACATTTTAATAATAACTAGAAGTTTTCAATGTCTCTCACTGTCCTGATAATGTTCATTTTCAGGTTTAACATTCTTGTACAGCATTTTCTAAAACCCCGACGTTTATTATTCATGCCTATTTATAACACTCGCGAGAGGGTCAGAAATCAGAATAAAAATTCTTTGCGTTACTTTTACATTGGGTCAGAATAAAAATTCTTTGCGTTACTTTTACTACATTTGGGTGATACATGTCAAAATCAAGCGTTTAAAAGATATTTTATTTCTCGTGCAATTTTCAGTTTTGAAAGATTTAATTATTGCAATGGGAGTCGTTGATTTTACAAAAAGCTTAGTGAATAACCCATATAGATGGTATGAATATATAGTCATGCTTTTTTGGCCATTATTCATTAACATGTGTAAAAAGCAGTGTATAATTTTCGGATAGTGATTGTTTTCGGACAAAATATGACCGACCTGGGATTATGATATTTTATGCAGTTCCGTTATATCCTTATTATTGTCTGTTATTCTATGTAACCGTAACTTGTGATTTTTTATGCATCCGAAGTGCGTCATATTAAAATCGCATCGTCCGTCTGTCTGTCACTCTGTGCATCCCGGCTTAATTCGTGTCTGGACTGTAACTTTGTCATACATTGAGCCGAGATTTTCAAATAACTTGGCATAAATGCCATCAATAGGATGTGTGACGTCCAAGAGTCACGTCCCCACCTCAAAGGTCAAGGTCACACATTTTGAAGTTTCACTTTTTTACAGTAACAGTTTATACTTACACACAGTCTTGTCCTGACTGTAACTTTGTCATGCGATCAAGGATTTTAAAATAATAGGTATAAATGTCTACCACATCAAGAGGACATGTCACGCTCAAGACCCAGTTCTCTACCTATGTGAAGATACACATTTATGTCAGGATTTTTACTTTGTCATGCATGGAAGGATTTTAAAATAACTTGGCACAAATGTCTACTCTACCATGTCAAGACGATGTGTCGCGGCCAAAGGGGTCCGACACACTTGGGTGTGTTCATATATACAGACTTCCCGAAATACGTCGGTCCGACGGACATGTCCGATAAATTTTGATCAGGTCTGACAATTTTTTATTCCGGATCGGTCAGACTGTCCGGCTTTTATCCAAGCCGCATGTATACAAAATGGCGTCGCTAAAGGTGCCAAACCTGGGGAAAAACGAAAATCTACGCCAGAAGAGTGCGCAGAACAGCAATAAAAGGATGAAAAGAATAGACCTGTACGGATTGTGCCGATTTTTACGGCGAAAAAATAAAAACCAAAAAGTGTCTTAGAAATACAAACACAAGTTTTTCTTTGATTTTGATCAATTTTATTTGGTCCGACAGATTTTGTTTCGGTCCGGCAGATTTTCATGGTTTGTCAGACCGAATGTCTGACAGTTTTTTTCAACTTTCGGGAAGTCTGTATATAGTGTAATTAACTTACACAAGCAATTTGACAAAAAATATATGGAAGGATATTTTATATAGAGACAAGGGATTTAACTATAACTTTACACTATCACTGACAGTCTGTGAAAAAACTGTCCACAATTTAAACAAATATCACTTTAACCTTTTCATTTATCTGCTTATCACAGTGTAATACCATGCCTGTGGGTCCCCACTTTAGACTTACACAACTATCATGTACAGGTTGTAACTTTGTAATGCATTGAGGGATTTTGAAATAACTTGGCATAAATGTCTATCACATGACAATGTTGTGTCACTGCCAAGAACCATGTCCCTTCTTCAAAGGTCAAGGTCACACTTATATTTTGAAGGTTCACGCTATCACAATTAGAGATTATAGGTACACACATTCGTGTCCGGACTATAACTTTGTCATGCATTGAAGAGTTTTAAAATAACTTGGCACAAATGTCTACCACATCAAGATGACGTGTTGTGTGTAAGACCCATGTTCCTACCTCCAAGGTCAAGGTCACTCTAATAGTTTGAAGGTACTTATGCTCATAAGAAGAGTTTGAAGGTACACATTAGTTTCCAAACTGTAACATTGTCATGCATTGAAGGAGTTTAAAATAACTTTGCATAAATGTCTACCACATCAAGATGATGTGTCACTTCCAAGACCCTTGTCCCAAGGTGTAAAGTTTGCTATAAATATCACTTCACTTCACAAGAGCAATATAAAGCAATTAGTTACTTTCATTCTCTTTTCTTTTAATAATACCTGCATGCTTAAGAAACCTTTTGGGGGCATTTGTCACTTGTGTGACAGCTCTTGTTTGTAATTAATTATGACTGATTACTCAGACTTGCCTCTGTAATCAATTAAATTACACTAAGAGAGTAGTGCAATTAATGATTACCCCAAGGCTGCTAAGAAGAGAAATTAAAAAATGTATGTACTGTAGACATATTTAAACAACTTCACAAAGTCATTCCGCACATCAAGTTCATATTCCATGTTTATGGTTGAACTTTGAGGTCATTGACTATATGTAATATCATTGTGTACAGTGATTTTTAGCTCACCTGTCACAAAGTCACAGGGTGAGCTTATGTGATTGCTTTTCGTCTGGCGTCCAGCCGTAAACTTTTACTTTAAATGACATCTCCTCATTAACCACTAAGCCAATTTCATCCAAACTTCACAGGAATGTTCCTTTGGTGGTCACCTTTAAAATTTAATTCCATGCAGAACTCTGGTTGCCATGGCAACCAAAAGAAAAATCTTTAAATATCTTCTTTTAAAAAACCCTAAGAGCTAGAGCTTAGATATTTGGCATGAAACATCTTCTAATGAGTGTCTACCCAGTTTGTTCAAATAAAAGCCCCGGGGTTTAAATTGGCCCTGCCCCAGGGGGACAATTATTTTCCCTATATGCATATAGTAAAAACTTAAAAAATCTTCTTTTAAAGAACCCAAAGAGCTAGAGCTAAGATATTTAGCATGAAACATCTTCTAATGAGTGTCTACCAAGTTTGTTCAAATAAAAGCCCCGGGGTCTAAATTGGCCCCGCCCCAGGGGGTCATTGATTTTCCCTATATGCATATAGTTAAAACTTAAAAAAATCTTCTTTTAAAGAACTCAAAGAGCTAGAGCTAAGATATTTAGCATGAAACATGTTCTAATAGGTGTCTACCAAGTTTGTTCAAATAAAAGCTCTGGGGTCAAAATTGGCCCCGCCCCGGGGGTCATTGATTTTCCTTATATGTGTATAGCAAAAACTTAAAAAATCTTCTTTGAAAAAACCCAAATAGCTAGAGTTTAGATATTAAGCATGAAACATCTTCTAGTGAGTGTCTACAAAGTTTGTTCAAATAAAAGCCCTGGGGTCAAAATTGGCCCTGCCCCGGGGGTCATTGATTTTCCTTATATGCGTATAGCAAAAACTTAAAAATCTTCTTTGAAAAAACCCAATTAGCTAGAGTTTAGATATTAAGCATGAAACATCTTCTAGTAAGTATCTACAAAGTTTGTTCAAATAAAAGCCCTGGGGTTAAAACTGGCCCCGTCCCAGGGGTGTCATTGTTTTTAACTATACATGTATGTGTTTAGTAAAAACTTAAAAAATCTTTTAAAAAAAACCCAATGAGCTAGAGCTTAGATGTTTAGCATGAAACATCTTCTTATGGGTGTCTACCAAGTTTGTTCAAATAAAAGCCCTTGGGTTAAAATTGGCCCTGCCCGGGGGGGGGGGAAGGTGTGAGGAGGGGGGGCTTTATACAGGTGAGCGACCTCGGGCCATCATGGCCCTCTTATATAACAGACTCTGAAAAAAGGCCTCTTCCCAATTGAAATTTATTTTAAAATCATGCAGTTTTCCCAAAAATCTGAACTTAAACCAGCTTTTTTCTTCCCAATCTGCAATTTTAGCGATATTTTTTCCCAAAATCAAGAGGCTAAGGCCTCTTCCCAATTAAGTGAGAAAAATCACTGATGAATATCATCCAGTGTTGGTAGATCTCTGTCGCTGAGAACTATCATTAACATGATGCTTAAACAATGTAGCCTCAAAAGGAAACTAATACTCAGTCTCAATGGTAAAAAAAAAATTTGATAGCGGTGTATTTATATTACAATTTATTGTCACGCAAATGACTTACAGATTTTAGTAGTTACTTAACAAACTAAAAATTCTCTTTTTCAGGTCCCTTGTGAAAGGAATAGGGATGTTTGTACTAGCCATTTATATTGCACGTGAGTTGGAAGCAGCAGAAGCAGAAGCCATTGCGGACACAGCAGCACAATTAACACAGCCCCGATGACATTAATAACATCATGAATGTACGGAATGATAGGTAAATAAGAGGCATAGTTACATGTAATTATGATTTTAAGTCTTTATAGGCCTTCATGCTCCTGTAAACAATTTGTAAGTGTAATAAATAAGAGATTAGACGTTGACAAGTGTTTGCAACTTTCAAACAAATCAAAAGGTCACCAATTTGAATATGTAAGATTATCAAATTTATATACATGTTAATGGAAACATGAAATGTTTTGATATGAAAAAATTGTTCTTGGAAATTAAAACAGGACCAAAAGCGTCAAAAGTATGTTAATCTGAAGAAGGGGCCCCACACTGTGGTGGGTTTGAATTCCATCATTGACTTTGAATTATTTCATGTGAAGAAACTATGCAACCAGGTTATAGAATGAAGGGGATTCTTCTCTGGTGCCTGAAATAAGGCACGAAGGGACACCTGGGTACCATATGACCTTTGCAGTGTCACTGTGTCCTAAAATCAAACAAACTAACATCATAAGAAGGCAATGTCACATTGTTCTCTCTTATTTACAACTGAACTGAATGTTATCTTGGCCTGAATATCTATGATTTTGCTGTTTATACAGTCCTGGTGGCTATGTTTATAACATTACAGCATTGGTCTCACTGGGGAAATAGAGAAATATAGAGGATATTTTGTATATTTTCAGGTGAAGAAAGGATGGAGAAGCTGCTTTTATACAAAGATTTTCTTGTTTTTATGTACAAATTCATTCGGAATAAAATATTTTAAAACTGAAAATCCGTTTAGTTAAATATCTGTTGTTCCTGTCTATTTGAAAGGTATACTTTTTATATTGCAATACTGTCTTCATGCTATGCATGAAAATAAGCTATTTGTTTGTAATAAAGCCTCACTTATATTTCACTCAACAAGCAAATCCAATAATTGACTTTCAATAACTTTGAAATACTAAATTGATAGTTAAATAATCTTTAAAATGGGTCAAACCATTCACCCCAAATTAATTAGGCTACTTAATTGAATGACATTCCAAAACATAGCAGATTTCATTATGCTGATGAAATTGCAAACATTTTCTTCTATTGAAGGGTGATAACTCCTGAAATACTGATTAATGAGGTTCTAAAACATACTGGCTACATTATGCTGGTAAAATTGCATTTTACTGGTAGTTAAAATTATTATTCAGATGAAGTTTCATGCAATATGAACTTTACTGCTCAAAATTTGAAGAGGTCACAAGATTGTGTTTATTTTGTAGATTAAGGGGACTCCACTGAGGTTTTTGAAATGATGGGACTGAAAATATTTTTTCCTGATAAATGTACCATTTGATGTAGGTTTAGACCAATAATCTTTGAGCAAAATTTCAGATCATTTGCACACTTTGTTTTTCCAGAATAATTATTCAAATTGTAAAAAAATGACCCAAAATGAAAAGCGTTAAAATGCTTTTCAAATCGGGCTAAGAAAAGCTTAAAAAATACGATTTTCAATTTATTTCAAAGTATATTTCTTAACTATCTTTGCATATATTTCTGTTTAAAATGCCCCAGCTCATTTATGTAAGAAATTCAAATGTTATGTTTTAAGACTTTTAAACTTCAGTGGAGTCCCTTTAAGTTCAGGTTAAAATATTTGCTGCCATTCTGAAAAACAGCTTTGTGCCAAATAAAAGAAATGAGCCTACAAACTGTTATAGTGAAACACAGTTGAAACAGGGGAGGTCATATAGTTGGAGATAACGCGAAAAGGTTTATAAAATGAGGCTTTTTAGAAAAATTAAGTAGGGTGCCTCAATTTCCCGATTACATCTTGGCATCGCTTTCTCATACTGCTAATAAGCCTTTGCATGCTTTGTTTTGGGATTTGAGCCCATTATTCCATGTGGTTTTGCGTCAACAAAATGCGAATTATTGGTTGTTTGGCCCTTGTGCTAGCTCTATGAAGATAAGTTTCTGACCTCTATTGATTTTGGGGTCCCTAGGTCATAGGAGCCTTAAATGACAGAATGGTTTCCGCTGATAATCTTTGAAAGTATTTATCACAAAGTCTTCATATTTCACATATAGATTGGTCATAACTAGTAGATGACCCCTATTGATTTTGGGATCATTAGGTCAAAGGGGCCTCAAATGTCAGAATGGTTACTGCTCATTATCTTGGTTACAATTAATCGCAAAATCTTCATATTTCACATATAGATTGGTCATAACTAGTAGATGACCCCTATTGATTTTGTCGTCATTACGTCAAAGGTCAAGGTTATAGGGGCCTCAAATGTCATAATGGTTTCTGTTCATTGTCTTTGTTACAATTAATCGCAAAATCTTCATATTTCACATATTGATTGGTCTTAAACTAGTAGATGACCCCTATTGATTTTGGGGTCAAAGGTCAACGTCACAAGGGCCTTAAATAGCTCATTATCTTGAAAACTATTTATCGCGAAGTCTTCATTATTTTCTTTTTTCCATAATTGAATACTTCAAGGTACCCATTTTTGGCAAGTTTCTCTAACAAAATTACCAATAATGTGAGTCAAGGGCTAGACGGGCATGTGTTGTTTGACATGTCTTGTTTGAAGTAAGCCATACCCAAAGCTAGCTTTGAAAGTTACACAAGCAAAGTTTGAATATAAGCCACTAAGGGATGTACACAAGTCATGAAAGTAAAATAATGTATAAGCCGTTGGTGCACACTTTTATGGGTATCACTTTTTCCATGGATTTTAATAGTTACTTAGCTTGGTTACCCTAAATGGTTCCCATCAAATTCATATCAAATTTTGAAAAGTCTAGTTAAATAATCCTTTAAATATTTCACAGGTACGGTGACCGTACCACCAACCCCTCACTGCTGTGGGTTTAGAGTCTCATCTGGGACTTTGGATTCTTTTATGTGAAGAAGCTATCCAGCAAGCTTAGGAAATGTTGGTTGTTCTACATAGGTACCCATTAATGCCCGATATAATACATGAGGGGGCACCCAAGGTCTATCTCCACTAGTTAAGCTGGAAAATATCTGTATGATTACCATTTTGGTGCCGTGTAAAACCCAAACAAAAAATATAAACTTGCCAGCAGTTTCTCATTGGGGATTAACATGTAGAGCAAATTTCAATATAGTTGTTACTAATGATGAAAGTGATTCAAGGGTTGACTTCATTCATGCAAGTGGCTACTCAAAATTTAATAGAAACCTCAAAGGTAAATAAGAACAAGGTACAATTGAACAATTGTATAAGTAAATGTTTATAATCCTCTAAAAGGCGGGGCAGCTATATACGCCTGAATGTATTTGTTTGAGTTATCAAAAAATAATCTTTCATTTGGGTATAGACCCAATCAAGAAACTATGATACTATATGACCTCCAAGGTGGAGGCATTTTTTTTTATTCATAAAACTTTTACAAATGTCTATTAGGCAATGCTATATGCCAAATATAGAGTAATTGTATTTGTGTTTTCTATACCTTAGTCTACATAGTAAAGGCAAGTGACTTCCAAGGCACTGGGCCAATTTTGACCTGAGGGTCATGATAAGTACAACTGTATAACTTTTGTAAAAATTTACAAACTGATGCTCCATGCCAAATATCTAAGCTCTGGGCTGTGTAGTCTAACACAATGAGTTTTCCTATATAAGTTTATATAAACCAAGTGACCCCAGGGTAAGCCAACATTGACCCCAGGGGAATGATTAATATCATGTTCACAGGGTAATGCCACATGCTAAATATCTTAGCATTGTAGTTTCACAAAATAAACTGATTAAATAATGTGTTTTCTCATACAAGACTATAATATTATCAACGAAATGACCTTGGCAGTGGGGGCAATATTGACCGAAAGTGGCATGATTAATACCAGGATTTTTTTCTGGTCCACAAGTGAAGTTATATGTCCAATATCTAAGCTTTGGGCATCATAGTCTCACAATAAGTCTCAGATGTGTTTTTCAATTATATAAGGCATGTTTCAGATTAGTTTTGTAAAGGTCAATAGGGCAATATAACTGTTACATGCCAAGTATCTTTGCTCTAGATATTGTAGTTTCAAACAACAAAACAAATGTGTTTTTCTATGCAAGTCTATATAAATCAAGAACTTTAGAAAAAAATAATTCCAAAATAACTGCAATACGGTATGACAGAAATATATTTGTATATTTCTTTCAGAGCAAAAGAAGCCTGCAAAGATTTAATCATTTAAAGGATACAGCTAGAACTCCACGAGTCAGATGTGTTGCCTTGTAAACAATATAGTTTAGGAGAAATGGTCCGGACAAAAATGAAATATGAAAATTAACAAAGGGCAATAACTCAAATTAAGAGATGCAGAGCAGCAGTTTCTGTGCACTGCACTTTTTATAAATAAGATCTATCATCCTATGAAGTTCCAACTTCCAAGTCTATAGCTTTTATAATTTATGAGAAATGGCCTGGACAAAAATAAAGTATGAAAATTAACAAAGGGCAATAACTCAAAAAATAAGAAATGCAGAGTACCAGTTCTTGAGCACTGCACTTCTTCTTAATGAGATCTATCATCCTATGGAGATTCAAGTCCATAGCTTTTATACTTTAGGAAAAATGGCCCTGACAAAGTATGAAAATTAACAAAGGGCAATAACTCAAAAAATAAGAAATGCAGAGTACCAGTTCTGCACTTCTTCTTAATGAGATCTATCATCCTATGGAGTTTCAAGTCCATAGCTTTTATACTTTAGGAAAAATGGCCCTGACAAAGTATGAAAATTAACAAAGGGCAATAACTCAAAAAATAAGAAATGCAGAGTACCAGTTCTTGAGCACTGCACTTCTTTTTAATGAGATCTATCATCCTATGAAGTTTCAAGTCCATAGCTTTTATACTTTAGGAGAAATGGCCCGAACAAAAATAAAGTATGAAAATTAACAAAGGGCAATAACTCAAAAATTAAGACGTGCAGAGTACTGGTTCTTGTGCACTGCACTTCGGGTCATTATAAGAAGCATGCATATCAAGTTTGAAGTCAATCCGACTTATAGTGACTGACTTATGCTTTGGACAAGCTTAAGGGGATGCCGACAACGCCGCCAAAAGTAACCCTTATATGTCGCGACACAAAAACCATAACTGAAATAGTAGCTTTTGAAATTTTGTTTTGGAACATTTTATTAAGTTTACAAAGCAATATTCATGTGTGTTAAATAACAGGGACATTACGTTACAACTCTTTCCTAAATCGACCATAGAATTATGGAAAGAACAAAATTTTTCAGTTTATATTTCAGTAGGAACAGCTTTTTACCTTTTAAAGGAATCTTATAGAAACTTTCTTAGCTACATTTCCTTACAGTTATCTGATTCAATATCACTAAATACTGACGACTTCCTTGGTTGGGAAGAAGTTATTACTATACAGAGGACCCCTCTGTGGAGGACAGTCAGACTACAAGTTTTGTATCATTTTTCAATAGTTTAGTTTGTACTAATTTATGCTAGTTTGTGTTGTTAGCTTATTATATTGAAACACTCTCTAGTCCGTTCCTAGAACCAACCAGTACTAAGCAATAAGTGTATGGTTTCTTGCTCATGGAAACAACAGCTTGCTCCGGATAGGGTCTGAACCAAAGCAGCCAGAAATCCTTAGATTTCTAGTCTGACATGTTAGCCACTCAGTCAAGCCCTCACTCTTTTTCCCGCAACACAGGACAACATTATTAGATTCCATTTAGAATCCATTTAATGAAGAACAGTCATGGCATAAAACAACAGATAGAAGTTACTTTTTTTATTTTGTACAAAACAACAATAAAAATGAGATGATTTTTTTTACAATGATCTCTACACTAGAAATAAGTTCATAACATCTGCCACTTATTATTTATTATAAGGCAAAACAATAAAGGAATTCGTTATGTTTTTAAAGAAGAAGTTGAAATGTTAAAAGGCTATGAATTATGGGATGTCAGATATTTTTTTTTGCAAAAAACATTTAGCAAATTATATTTTATAGAATATAATAGCATATAAAAATTGCAAATTTCCTTGAACACAGATCAACTGTTGTATTGACAGAACTAAAACACAAAACCATTAACATAATCAAATTTTTTAAACAAAAGGTAATCCTATCAACTCATTGAGAAAATAAACTGATATTTTAGCCCTGCAGGAAAATATTGTTTTCAAAGCCAGAGCTATTCTACTTTATCCTAACAAATTTTTGCCAATTGTTAACACTAAGTCCAGTTAACAATTCTTCACCTGTGACTCAGCAGGTAGAATAAATTCCAAATAACTCTATATTGGCATATTTCACACTGTTTTCAACTTTTCACGCAACTTTTCCTTGCACTTGAAATATTAAAACACACACTGGTATCTCACAAGTCACTTTTATCCTATTATTATTATAATAAAATTGATTCCAGTTTCAGAGAATTAAAATAAACCTTTTTTTCATAACTATTTACATTCTTAAAACTCTCAGTTTGTTCAATCTTTCATTTCACCTTCTTCATCTTCTTCCTCTACACCTCGTACATACAAGACGTTATTACATCTGAAAAAATAGAATTAACAAAATATTAAGACAAATACAGATAATTATTCTACACTAATGATTTTGATGTTTCATTCACTTTAGAATTTCACCATGCGTCTGTTTTAAGAGCCCCAGTTAATCTATGTAAGATTACAAGATTAATCTAAGCATCTTGGACAAAACTTTTCTTCTCAGGCCATCCATAAAAAAATGTTTGTTTGCAATAATGCGACAGACTCACAAAATTTGCCCCTACTCAAAATTTTTTTTCATGGTCTGGATAAAAAATCTTTTTTTATGCCACCGCAGCAGGAAGGTATTTTATGTTTTTACTATATGTATATTATATAGTGAAAATCAATGACCACCGGGGCGGGGCCGATTTTGACCCCAGTGCTATAATTTGAACAAGCTTGGTAGAGGTCTACCAGACAATCATCACACAATGCCTTATGCAAAATATCTAAGCTCTAGGCCTTTTGGATCTTTACAAGAAGATTTTTTAAATTCATTCTCATATAGGTCAGGGATCTATGCATTATGACAATCTTCAAAATTGTTTAGAAACAAAAGAAATCTGTTCCTACACTACTATTTAGTGTTGTATTAATGCGGTGGCATAGCATATTTCTCAAATGCAATCTTGTTTTTAATCAGAAAATTATGCCTTGTGCTTTGTTTTCATTCTTTTAAAGGTAAATAGAAGAAATAAAATGTAGGTCTTATTAAATTAGAATTCAGTTATCAATTTATTAATTGTTACCAGATTATCAAAGCATATATTGTCCAGCATTTTGAAATTCCATGTTTATTTGGGAGTACAGTTCAATAAAAAAAAAAAATCGACCTACCTACCGTTGAAAATTCTGGGTCGGGTTACTGCAAACAAACATTTTTTTAAGGATGGCCTCAGAATATATTTTATCACATATTGCTTTTCCCTAATAAATATTGAATATTATATAGATAAAATTGGCTATTTAACATACTACTAACTAGTAAGTTGTTAAATGCTTGATACTGGTATGAGGACTTGCTGCTGCATGAGAGAGGCATACTGCAATCGCCCTGGCAGCTTCATTTCTTATATGATATTTGGGGGGGTCCAAATATATTCCTGTATTGTACCAGTTCAGTATTAATATTACCTTTACCAGTAATTATCTAACAGTAAAAAAAAGCAGAAGATAACCTCTCAGAAATTGGCTGAACAGACTATTATTGCAGAATAGCCTATAACAAAATACCGTACATACACACATGAAAGACCTGGAAAAAGCTTTATACAAGAGCCCGGTTTGAGCCGGGTGATGCTCCCCGAATAGGTTTTGGACACAGGAAAGTACACCTCTTGTAGTTTCAGAGTTATGTCCGTGGAAAAAAGTTCAAAGTGCAATAATTCCAAAAATTAGGCAAGGCTGTTACAGTTTTTTGCACTGCACTTCTAATCAATGTGATCTATCAACTTACAAAGTTTCTTGATGATATCTCTTATGATGTCCTGGACAATTCAAAAAAGTAAAAAATAAACAAAGGGCAATAACTCCAGAATTAGGCCAAGGTAGAGTTATGATTCTTGTGCACTGCACATCTACCCATTTGAGGATTTATCTACCTACAAAAGTTTCATGTTGATATCTTCTTATAGTTTTACAGCTATGTCCTGGACAAGATTTTTCTAAAAGGGGAGATTATTCAAAATAAGGCTTAACAGAGTTATGGTTCTGTTGCACTGGCACATCTATCCATTGAGATCTTATTCACCTACAAATTTCATGTTGATATCTCTTATAGTTTTAGAGTTTATTGCCGCCGGACAAGATTTTTCTACAAAGGGGAGGTAATTCAAAAACCGGGCAAAATAGAGTTATGGGTTCTTTGACACTGCACTCCCGCCTCGATGCCCTCTACCACTGTATGAAGTTTCAAAAAATTATCTCCAAGGGTTTTCAAAGTTATGTTTCCGGACAAAGTTTCAAAGTATTAAAAATAAAGAAAGGGCAATAAACTCCAAAATTAGGATAAAAGAGTTATTTGTTCTTATGCACTGCACACATCTACGCATTAGATCTATTCACCTACAAAGTTTCATGTTGATATATCTCTTTTAGTTTTAGAGTTATGCCCCGGACAAGATTTTTTCTATTAGGGGAGATAATTTCAAAAACTGGGTAAAATAGAGTTATGCGTTCTTTGACACTGCACTCCCCATCGATTGCCCTCTACCACTGTATGAAGTTTTCAAACAAATTATCTCCAAGGGTTTTCAAAGTTATATGTTCCGGACAAAGTTCAAAGTATTAAAATTAACAAAGGGCAATAACTCCAAAAATCAGGAAAAAAGAGTTATTGTTCTTATGGCACTGCACATCTACCCATTGAGATCTATTCACCTACAAAGTTTCATGTTGATAATCTCTTTTAGTTTTAGAGTTATGCCCGGACAAGATTTTTTCTATAAGGGGAGATAATTCAAAAACCGGGCAAAATAGAGTTATGGTTCTTTTGACACTGCACTCCCCTCGATGCCCTCTACCACTGTATGAAGTTTCAACAAATTATCTCCAAGGGTTTTCCAAGTTATGCTCCGGACAAGACAACCGGACGGACAGACGGACGGGACGGACAAGGCGCCGACTATTATGCTCTCCCCGAAATTTTTGTCGGGAGCATAAAAAATAATTTTTAGTTGTTACCCTGATTTAAAACTTCTCCCAAATTTCCAGGTAAGGGCTCCATCAATCAAGCTCTTCAGTGTTTGGGCCAGCTGTAACAAAAAATAGTGACATGTTGGAATTTTGAAAATGAAGTACACTTGATTTAAATTGCCCAGAATTTACCAGTAATATGTTAGTGTTCATCTGTGCTGTTTCTACAGAAATTAGAAACTTTTTGACGGGAGCAAGAAGTGACCAGGGAGAATGTTTCTAATTTCTGTAGAACAGCTTACGGAAGGAAACACTAACCCATATTTAGTGTCAAGGCTTCCATTTGGCCCTTTTGATTTCGTCACTGCGGAGGGTTTTTATGAAACACTTATGAAAAATAGACGGGCGACTATGAACGGGGTTTCCAAAATGAGTATCCAATTTTTTTTCTTTCTGATTGAATATTAGCAACACATAACTTTTAAAAGGAAAATTTTACACCGTTTCATTGGATTTGACCCAAATAAAGCTGGAACACTAAATGTTATGGAAAATTGAATAAAAATTTTAGGAAAACACCCTCCTTATTGTCAAACAATAAAATCTAAGTAGATTCATCTATTTTGAAATTCCCAGCATTGTATTCATAACCGTCCATTTAAAAATGGGAAATAGCATTTGTTATGTAGGTTTTGGTCAATATTCATCTAAAGACAATTAAAATGTTTCAATTGACAACATTTATGGATTCATTTAAGGTCAATTTTTTGCAAATAAAGTTTTTACAATTGACCTTTTCGAAAACCTAGCTTAAAAGCACCGTTTTCCGGGTACGGTTACCGTTTTAACTCTGGGGAATTACACCAAATGAAAGTACATAAAACCACAAGTTACGAGATATCTCTATTTTCTAATCATTATTAACCGTTTAAGTTGAAAAAAATGAATGTTATCAATTATTCGTTTAACTATCTATTGCAAATTATTAAAAAAAAAAATTGTTTATAATGAAAATCAATAAAATTCAAACAGACGTAGGTGGAATCTTTCCATAATAAATAAGGTTATTTCCTGCATAAAACTTGTGTATTTACTTTATTTTTTTGTTTGGAATTATTCATACAATGATATTTAATTATTTTCTTATTTTCTAATTATTAAAGAAATAACTGTTTTATTTCAGTTTAATTTAAAAAAAGGCCGAAAACATTTAGTTAGGTGAATTCCCCAGAGCTATGTACAGAAAGTACCGGAAAACGGCGTTTAGCTAGGTTTTCGAATTCGTGAATGGTGATCATATCTCTTGTTGCTTGAATGTTTTGAGCTTTTACCCATGAATAAATAATTCCATATAATTAATTATTGCTTGGTTTTTACCTGCAAGTTCATATAACCATCTACTGAAACCAGGTAACCTTTGTACTCCATGCCCCACTTCAGCTTCACTAAAACTGGTTTTCCTGTAAGACCATTCAAAAATGGCTTTGGGTTCATCGGAAGTGACTGAAAATTTAAAACATTCAAAAATGAATATATAAATATAATGATATTTTACAATAACATGTTTTTATCCAATGGATTTTGCAACAAACTTTAATTACATGCAGACTATAATTATACAAGCAAAATGAATGGGTAATTTAATATCAGCAAATGTCTGGCATGAATTATATATACTGAACTGGTTATTTAGAGATGTTGACAAGATTTATTGTCCAAAAATTTTGACACCTTTACCCTTTGACTGCCTGTGAATTGGTGCAATTTTACTGCCATGGCAAATTTTTAACAATTATCACATCAGGATTTTAATCTGGCTAGATGTTATTAGAATAAAATAACAGATTTTATAACTGAGAAGCACTTAAAACACTTCTTAAAAATAAATTTATGTGTTTATATTTATATGAAAAAAATATATTGAAATAAAGTTGCTGATTGTTTATCACTGATTTAACAGTTGACAATTAAAGTAAAGTAAACATAAGCTCTGATAAGCTTTTTACACCAACTACAATCAAATATCCTGCCTTACACAATATTGTGTAATGACACATCGGGAAATTTTAAGCATAAAGATGAATGATCAGCATTTTGCAAAAAAATTAACATAAAGATTTTATAAAAGCATGGAACATTGACACTTAACTGGACCGCCTGGATTCCAAAACAGATACTTTGACCAGGCCTACTTTCTTTCAGAAATGCTGATGGGTGACTATTTTCCAGTGAAAATAGCATAATTTATAGAAATGTCAGCTTATTTTTTCCATGGTTCAGGTGAAAGTCTCCAGAATGTGAATAATTAGGGGTGCAACGATACAGCCAAACCCGTATTGCGATATATTGCGATATAGACAGCCTGTATTGCGATACGTATTGTGGTACAGTGTATACTAAAATAATTAAAGAAAACAGTAAAACGTAAGCTATATTTCAACTCTTCTTATTATTCTTTTAGAACACATACATGTATCTATAGAGATGAATAAGTACCCTGTGTCCTTGAGGCTTTTTAAATGTTTTTCTTAAGAAATATCAACATGTCAACAACTTTCAAGCATGACTTAACATACCCCACGCGTTCATTGTACATGTTCGGTATAACAGTTTCAGAAAAGTACGTACGTGATGGTAGGTCGTATCTAGGGTCTAAAACACGAATCATATCCTTAAATCCATCATTTGAGACAACACTAAACGGTCGAAGATCATTAACAATGAATTTTCCGACGGCTTGCGTTAATGTCCTTATACCGCTGACTTGTAGGCTTGTATTTGGAAGTCTGCCCAAAAGAACTCATAATTGTCGGCTGCTTTACGGTTGACGCTGTTGCCGCGATCAAACTAGTACCAGACTTGCATGCACCTTGTTGCAGATTGATTTTTGTGGTGTCGAGTCAAATGTGTATTTAGATTTGTGGTCCCTCCGCTGTAGCGAATATCCATCTTACATTTTTTACAAACGGCTATGCCGTCCTCAATTTTTCCTGTAGATTTTCTTTTTTTTAAGTTGAACTCCACCAATTTTTTACTTTTAGCTTTCTCATTTTCAATTAGTTCAAAATCTTCTTTTTCCATTTTTTTATTTCAGTTAATCAACAATTTTAATCAGTCCTAACTTAAATTGCGTAACTGTGTGTAATTTAATAAAGCGTGATCAAAGCCGCACTCTGAAAATGACGTCACACGATTCTGCTTCTCGCGCGGTAAGATCAAAGAGCTTCTTCAGGAAAAGTTCGCGGCGGCGTTTCTTTATACATCACAGGGATCGACTAGTGTCGGCAATCTTTTCATGTTTCATTGATGTTTTGTTTTGGATGTCGTAAATCGTTGCTTACTGATTCAAAATTGAAGTTTCTACATTCATGTTATTTCGGCATAAATATTAAAGAAAAAACCGCAATACAGGGCAGCTGCACCGCGGTACGTATCGACCCGAGACTGTATTGCAATATACCGGTATACCGGTATATCGTTGCACCACTATGAATAATGTTTATTTAATTAAGTATTTCCTCTGTATATTTGAGAAAAAAACTTTGTATATATTTTCAATAACTAAAGAAAACAAAATGAACCTTATATCAAAGAAAACGAAATGAACCTTATATAAAGGTGGCAAGATAGCTTAGTTGGTTAGACCACAGACTGTCACTCAGAGGTTGCGGGTTCGATCCTGGGTAGCACCCTTAGGATTTTACAGAAACACTTTCACACAATCAGAGGTAAACTGGTAAGAAATCAAGGTTATCCTTGCATGTACTAATCAATGCTGTACACTGAGCAAGTAAAAGAACCAAGGGGTCTATTCAGTTATCATTAAGATAGCAATGCTACATGATATTTTTTGGTCTACATTTCCAAGTTATGAAGGTGTTGCATGAAAAGAGCACTGCTTGATAATGTCAAAAAACTTTATTTTAACAAGAAATTTTTAACACTCTTTTTTTGGTGATTTTTTTAGTCTATCACATATTCATATACCTAAAACTGTCATTTTCCTAAAAAAGTGAAAATTCTAACCCCAGTCAGTTTTTACTTTACTATTTGAAATATTTCCAAAGAAAAAGTCTTTTCACACTTCAGTATTAAAAACTTGAACTTCTGAACATACAATTTATCCAAATACACGGAAAAAAGCAGCACATACCATAAATTAATGCTCTTGGAACTTCGGTTTGGACCCGTGTCAAAATGTTAAAAACGACAAATACAGTGACAGTGCCTTACTTGAGTAATCATTAAATGATTAATACTGTAATTTTTTGTGAATACTTCCTCCATCATATTCCATGTATTAGTGGTAATTATTTTAATGTCAGGTTATACAATCGGGGATACACGTTCATTGCATCACTCTCACATTGCAATGCCAATGGCATAAACAAAGAAATTGTCAGCATTTCAAAGGTTGAAACATAACTAATGTCATTACTGTTACATCGTGCATATCAAATAAATAAAACAGAATTTTAGAACACTAATTTTAATGGCCTAGTGTATAGTAATCACTGATTCAGTGCCAATAATAGCAATATCAATTCGTTTCCCCACCCACTGACCCAATCACTGAAAACTGGCCGTATTTCTTTATCTGAGCATTGTCATAATAAACTGTGAACAGTTCTTATAAAACAGGAGTTATTGCAACATTATTACAACTTACACCAAGGGAAATACTTCTTCACTCGCAGAAAATATCTGAAATATGTATAATCTGTTTCGTTTTTTCACAAACAGGAAGTTGACAGTACGACTTTCGGATTGCTCTCAAATTTACCGCTGTTTTCAATGAGTGTCCAAGATAAGGTACACTATTGCACGCAGGTCACAAATCTTCAAAAATAAATACTTTGTCCAGGTCCAATGTTGATATTAAAGGGTATATTCGAAAGATTAATAATTATTTCATAAGAAATGCACATTTACTTGAGTGTAATGGGTTTGAAAGTGAAAAATATTTGCAAATCTTTTCTTTCCAATTTGATTTCGTTTAGAAAGGTGCGGGTTCAACGATATAAAAATACGGTTACACATTAATTAATGTTTCTATTAATAAATGCAACTATTTTTACTGACCAACGAACTGTTGTCTAAGAATAATTTACAGGCAAAAACGTCATGGGTTTCCACATTTATTGAGGTCAGACATTTTCATTGGTCTGCGCACTCTGTTGCGCATCGCCATCTAGCGAGCGTAGCATTGCTAATTAAGAGCTAGGGACTGGCTCCCAGATTCCCTTGTATCTCATAGCGGTCTCTGAAGTGACTTGTCTAGAGTTATGTCTACGTTCCCACAACGTGTTTGACATTAATGGAAGATAGATATACCCCGGGGTCTATTAATATCACAGCCAAATATCCTAGTCCAATATATTAGACGTTACAGGCTTGTTATAGTTTTTGTTGGTCAAGCCTGACGTCTAATAGTTATTGCTCAAAAACGCATAGCATCATAAAAAATTCCAAAAACGATGTACTTATCAATTTAAAATAAAATATAAACACCAATCTATATATGTCTATCAGCCATACTGGTTAAGCAATGTTCTTTACAGATTGATTCAAAATTTTTGAACGGAAAAATATATTCGAACACACTGACGGTGCATGGGCAATTATTTCGTTAAAAAATATTCCATTAGATTGTTCTGACTCAGTTAAACGCTTGCATTTGAATTAGCCAATCAGATTTCGCGCACTTTACGGCCGCCATTTGTTTATCGGCTGTAAAAGGAATTGAAATACATGAGAGGATTAAATCATGATTTTTTGGATATGACAGTTTAATTATTTTGACAAAAGGTATTTATTTTTAAGTTCTGTTCATAAATAGGTAAAAAATTATGTAAATACAGGCTGTCTTCATTGTTTTTCGTTCCGCCCGATTTTCTGGCGGAACATGCTATGGGTTTTTGAGCAATTTCGATATGACGTTGCTTTGCCCAGAAGCAAAAATATCTCAAAGCGACGTCATATTTATAGGACTACCAAATATCCCAGCCTGAGGCTGGAAAACAAACGTCTCATTTCCCCAAGAAGACTTAAGCAGGTCTAGGATTTCATGATATTTATGGACAGTCTGTAAATTTTTGGACGATCCATAATTTTACAGATTTTTTTATCTGTAAATTTACAGACATGAAGTAAGAAAATAGCAGAAGTTGCATAAAAACTCAAAACCGCAGGTTAAAATGAATAATGTTACGTATTATATGATTAAATGTAACAGTATGGTAAGATTCAGAACAATTTGATGACTTCCAATTTTCACTTTTAGCAAAAATTTCAAAATCATCATACAAAGATGAAACTCACCTTATTACCTTTGTAAATATAAACAATCAATAAAACAACTTGTCTTAAGCTGCGGATTTTAGTGTAAAACTAAAAACAGCAAATTTCTCATTGAATATCTGTAAATTTATGGATTGAAAAATCTTAAAAATTTTAGACTATCTATAAATTTACAGACAGTCCATAAATATCATGAAATCCTAGACCTGTTAAGTAGTAGCATGGCCAGTGTCAACTACCGTCTACGAGTGGACTGGAGCATGAAACAATAGTATGTGCGCGTAATAATAAATGCTATGGGATAATTAAACTGTCATATCCGAAAAATCATGATTTAATCCTCTCATGTATTTCAATTCCTTTTACAGCCGATAAACAAATGCTATCATTAGTAAAACTGATAATATAATTTAAGAGAAACTGCGCAACAAAGCAAATTAAAAATTGAGGCGAAAAATTGATGGTCGTTTACCGGTTCGCGAAAACGTATAACATTTGTCAATACATGAAAACTATTCTTTTAAAACAAGGTGAACATGTATGTTAGTTTTGATATACTAATTTTAAAGCTTTCATATGTAATAATCTATACTAACCGCCATATTATCGAGTGTTTTTTCACTTTATTTTCTTTGTTGATCGCGCGGTGTGCGTTTTAATCTTTGCGCATGCGTAAACTAAACAACCGAAAAGCATAAGCAAATACTACTAAGACAAATATTGTGAATCCGAAGAAATCTTTCAAAATATGATAATTTTTTTAGAACTATCTACAATGCGATCGAAAATGAAAACGCTCGTGGACAGACAAATTTAAACGTGTATGTATCGATTCGCTTTTTTAATGATAACAAATCAATTAAAAAATATGTTAACTTTGATAACAATGTCTGATACCTATTCTATAATGATAATAATGATAATAATACTTTATTTTGTAAAGGTAACATATTTTATGTCTTATTTACAATATAGCTTTCAATTAAACAAGATAAAGAAATCCTAAAATTTATACACGCATATAAAAAATAAACAACAAAAAAAAGTCGACAGCTGACACGTGCATTCATCAGATTTATTTAAACTGGATATCAAGCAAGTATGATTTTCATATTTCTTTCAAAAACATATAGAGACAAAGATTCTGTGGTGATTCTTCTTGTCAGTATTTTTTCCAGATGTATAATTGAATGAAACAATTCATTTTTATTTTAAGATAAAAATGTGTTTTGGGCTTTTCCGTCGTCAATATTCAAAGTTAAAGCATTTTTACATTTGAGATTTCAATTTATTTTGTAAATGATGTAATATATTATTATTGAAGCATATTAGATTTAGAATTTTATTTAAATTGCTTTTTATGTTAACTTTTCACCTCTTTAAAGAAGAATTGGTTTACTTAGACACGATCATATTTCAAGCAAGTAATAATAAGTTCTGGTCTTTCATCAAAACAAATAACTCAGAAAGTTGTGGAGTAGCACATTTATACAGAGCGTTTTCAAAGTCTAACAGATTCTTGAGTCAAGACACACTTTTCTTTAGGGATGCTTATTTTCTCTATTTTATTTAATAGGTAATTTGGGTATATCGACTCCCACAAAAAGCCATTAAAATATTCAAATACAGCCAATAACTCCCTACCTCACAAAAGCAGCCAAGAATGGCCAGTGTCACTATAACAGAGGATGGAGATCCTTAAACTTTGCCTTTTTTCCCCTTACATATCAATGAGCTCCCTATCAGTGACAATGGCAAAGCTAGACTATTGCAGACACTGCAATAATTTACTTTACAATTTATGCCTGTGATATGTAGAATCCATAACCTCTGTTACTCTTTAGTTTAGTTAGAAACCATACGCCACTTTTTATAGAATGGTACTGAACGTGTCATACTCACGGTTTCATGGTAAACGCCGTGTGAATTTAACACATATGCAGATATTCCAAAATTCAAAATTTTATCATTTTATGTCAAATTTTGAATTCTGCTTAAGCCGGTGCCGGGGGGGGGGGGTCATGGATGATAGCTTTCACATGTTCAATTTTGCTGTTTCGGTTGTTCATATGTATTCATTTTTTTTTCCTATTGATAGCTAGACTTTATATAACTATGCAGTCTGAGAGCATATTATTTTTAAATATATTTTTAAAAATGTAAATGAATTACATATATAAAAAAGAGAGATGTATATGTATTTATGAATTAAAGTTTAAAATAAATATATGGAGTCATATATCCAAACATCATTTGTACACGTATGTTTCTGTCCCAATTAATAGTGAAATGTCTGTCTAACATCATAATTATATCATAAGAAGAGGTATACACTGTTTTAATTTATCTATTTCCATGCATAAATTTATAAAAGATAGTCGATTTCGCATGTATTTCTTATATTTTAGGTAATGTTAGACTTCGACATGAACAGTGTATAAGGAAGGAATCATAAATAAAATCTTTCTGGTAGTTAGTTAGCACTTTGTGTAGAATACCAATAAAAGAAGACCGCAAATTTAATTTTTGTCAATATTTAACGTTTGAATGAAATGGGGGTCGTATGGTAAGTATATATTTTATAACATCTTTTTTCTTTTTTATCGATTTATATCTTTGTTTTGGTTGAACTGTAATTATACCCAATTGACCGGACATATTTAAATGTAATTGACGTAACGCCGGATAGTTTATAATTTCGGATGGGTCAGACACACCTAATGATTTTAATAGGACAGCAGATCTTTATCCAAAGACTAAAGGTCAAATTGGTCATCTATTACACAAACATAGTAATTTTCATAGAAATAATTTTTTTTTTCACTTATTTTTCAGTGTTTATGCCTATCCTATTCCTGAAGGAAAAAGTGGACAGCAAGTTGTAGATTCATTGCAGAAGGATATTGAATTACTTGGGGCAGTTAAAACTGGTAGTTTCAATGTAGATTGTGAAACTTATAATTCAGTGAATCTTCCAGGTAACATATTTTATGTATTGCAAGTGTAAAAACGCAAGAAATGTTTCATTTATTGTGTTTGAAGAATTTGTCTAGTAAGGAAATAATGAGACTTTTTAAATAGATTTTTAAGAAGGATGAATTTTTACACATGTTCCTTGTGATTATCTAATATGATAGACACTAATCCCTTTACTTTTTTAATGATTGAGTTAGAATGTCAGACGTTTCACTCCCAAGACGTTTCACTATTGAGACGTTTCACTCCCAAGACGGTTCACACCTAGACGTTTCACTCCCATTTTGTCAATTGTATGGACGTTTCACTCCCAATTTTTAAGAGATGTTTACCAGGAAAGTTAACAAATTTTAATTTCATTAAAATCAAACAGTGTAAAAAGGAAATTCAATTTAATGTTTCATTTTGTTGATTTCAATGGTATTGTTAATACAAATTATTAGAAGATTACTCATTTAAAAAACAAATTTCTGAAATATCACTTTTATTATAAGTGTAACAACATGAGAAAATTCTATTTATAGTAAATTAAAAAAAAAAAATAGAATAACATAGAAAGAAAAATAAAGACATATTATAAGTATCAATTTAAATATTGAAATCAACACCAGTAAAGTATCTAATATTATTCAAACAATAAAAAATATCAATATATTTAATATATTATATAATGTTATGATTATTTTCATTATAATGAATATAATGATTATTTTTTGTAAGTCTTAAACAATGAAATGCGAAACATGTGTATAAAATAAATTATTTTTAAAAATTATTTTCTTCAACAATTCATTAAACAGTAGCCATTAAACAAACTTAAGTTATTGTGGTGTTATCTCATCGCCTAATTAGTTGTATAAACACTGAGACAAACAGTTTGACACCACTATTAAATCAGTTGTATAAACACTGCACTTAAAGCATCAACAGTTTACTAATCAGTTGTTTATTGGACCATTTAAATATTTTTTGACAACAGCCAATTTAAACATAGAAACCTCTCCATAAGTTTTGTTTATACAATAATGAAATTTTGTCACAAAAAAATGATTATACATGACAAATATTGAAAAAGTCCCAATGCTTCTAATTTAATTAAAGATATTTCTGATTTCAATGGCCATTAAAATTTTTGACATGTTTCGCAAAAGCACTGTATACTAGCATTAAATAATTTAACAATTTTTTATCCCATGTTTAAAATTAACAACAAAAAACACGTTACTCAAAGCTAATTGTTGTCACAAGATTGTTATGCTTTAAATTAAATTTGCCTATTGAGTCCATGTTTACAAAAGATCAAATAGTTAGTTATATTAAAGTGTTATTTTAATCAAAAGTATTTTTTTTAAGTGAAATAATGTAATAATTGCACATATAGATCAAAGAATAGAGAACACCTTATTTCAAAACAACAATAAAGAAGATAAGAGTTTTAAGTCATTGACAAAAAAGTGAAATCCCCCTTTTTATTAATTTTTATTAAATTTAAGGTCTATTTTAGTTCAGTTCAATTCAATTCAATTCAATATTTTAGGTCTATTTTAGTATATCAAATGTATCAAAATAATTTTGGTATAAAAAGGTAGTGAAACGTCTTGGTGTGAACCGTCTTGGTGTGAACTGTCTCAATAGTGAAACGTCTGTCTACCATTGAGTTATACCACTTTTATTTTTGTCAAGACCTGAGCACTGTGGTGCATGCTGTCTTAAGTTTGCAGTTGATTATGTTAATTACCTTTTTGCACTTTGTTTAAATACTGTCAGCAATTAAATCAGTTTGGAAGATACTCAAAAAATCAGAGAGACCTTACAAAAAATAGGATACAACCTATGAAAGTTTTATAACTGTGCACTTTATGGAAAAACGAATTGAGCTGAATTAGTGCAAGTTTTAGCAATTTCAGCCGTGCACTTTGTCCAATAGTCATAGGGTTGCCACTTGATATGCTATAACTTTAACCATTATTGTTAACACTGTTAAAACTCTGAATCTTTATTGTGTTAATTAACATTTTTCATATGCATTTAACATCATTTACTTTTACTATATTTATAATATTACACAGCAATGTTGTGTACATTGTATTTCAAATAACTTGTTATTTCTTTATAGGGAGTACACAACAACGTTTGATTCATGTGCTACACAACAGTGAACAGCCAGCATCGTGTTTCTCTGTGCTGGATACAGGAACAACACTGATAGCTGACGTCTTATTTGAAGTCCTCATAGCCAAACTTACCCAGGTCAAAGCTGGAAAAGAACCATTATATCAACATAGGAAAGGATTTAAGATGGAATCCAAAGGACCAAGATATGAATTAAGTGACTTTATTATTAAAATTGGATCTGTTTCTATGGCATCAAATTTCAAAGGAATTCTTGTAGAGGTTAGTATTTAGATTTGTTGAGTAAGCCAAGGTGCCAAATGGGATTTTTTAAAAGTAAAAAATAGTTAAATTTTGTGTCATGGTTGCCGGGGGAAGGAGGGGGTTGCAATAACAGCCAGGTTACAGAAATAGTTTTTGGACACCACTTAAGTTAATCATAGGTACTTTTAGCTCGACTTTACAAAGTATAGTGAGAGCTGTCCTACTCAACCCTGCATCTGTGACCACATTGGCAAGCTGACAGAAAAAATAATATGCACATTTCAAACGGCACTTACAACCAATGTCAATAACAAAAAAGAGGTCAAAATATGCAAAATTAACCCTTACTGCGTTAGTAACACAGTAGAAATATGGTGAAAATTACTGAAAAATTGGCCATCAATGCAAATAACATGGCAATTATTACTTTTATCTTTAGTCTTTTTAATTTTCATAAAACATCAATACATTTACTCAAGTTTTATTTTCTTGAAATATTTTGGCTCATCTGGAGGCATGCAGCTTTAATGTTTTCTATAACTTCTTTCTTTCGGTATCTACTTAAAGTTTCAAGTACTAAATGTTCCTTATTATCTCAAATCATGTATGAGTAGATTCAGTACTCTAGCTTGACTATTTCCAGAATTATGTCCCCTTTGATTTTTATCTAGAAATTATTATTTTTTTACTCAAACTTCTTTATTTCTTCAAACTCTCACATCTTAAAAATATGACAAGGTTATAAATCTAGCGCCCATATTTCCAGAATTATATTCCCTTTATACTTTGAATTTTCCTTAATAATTATTATTCTATAACTTTCTTATTTCTTTATGGATTTACTTAAAAGTTCAAATATATGTTCATTATCAACACCTACATCATATGTGATTAGATTTATAAGTCAAGCATTGGTTTCCATGATTATTTTCTTTTCCAACTTGGAATTTATGTTAAAATTGTTCTATATATTTTCTTCTTTATTACTATGGTATAAATGGTATATATTTGAAAGTTGTTATTCTTTCAATTTTCTTCTTTGTTACTATAAATGGTATCTACTTTATTCAGACTTAAAATAATGGTTCTTTGTTATCAGTCACATCATGTATGACAATGTTGAGCAGTCTAACATCTCTATTTCAAGAGTTATCTCCTCTTTAAGATTTTTTTAAAAAGTGTTGAAGTGTTATAGATCTATTCTGTTTACAACCAGGGATGTTGATAGATTCGCCCATTGTGTGTCTGTCCACCAGTCTGTCCTTAAAAACTGTTTCCTAAGATCACTATTAAAGAAGTTGAAACTTTTCAAACAAATTTACTTAAAATATAGAAAAGTTGAAACATTAGGTAATATTCGTCATGAGAAAATTTGATCTTTGATTATCTGTAGTATAATTGTAATTTCCATACTAGGCATTCATGTCTTCCACAATGGCATAAATGAATTACCATGGCCCTTCAGAATGTTGCTGATATACTTTTTGTAGGGTTAACCAAGTAGCTTGCAATACTTTGATAACTACTTGTTTTCATAGTTTTACCTTCCTCTTTAATTAGTCGAGCATTCTGTCTCTATTAAGTCAGCTCTTGTTGATATTAATAATAAGTCTTTTTATCAGGAGGGAAAAACATAGTGAGTGTTACTTTTGGAAAAGTATGAATGACGTAATCATGTTGTTAAGTCAATAATGTAAATTTGTTTGGATCTTTTTTTACTTAGTTTTAGTAAAAAGTGCAGTATTATCAGGTTTGATTTAATCTGGTATATAAAATTTTGAACATTACTGCAATATCTTTTTTATTCGTGGAGCATGAATTTTAGTGATTTTCATGAGTAGGTGAATCCACAAATTTAAGATCTTACAAAATCTTACAATGTCACTATTACACAAAAATGTTTATCATGTCAAAAGCATAGATTTGAAAGAAACAATATATCATTATCTGATTAATATAAGTTGAAGAATTTGATTTGATTTTACTTGTTAATGAAAATTTAAGTTATCATGATCACTATGCATTACTTTTGTGATATTGTAGTAATTAATGATTTAGATTATAAAAATAAAATGTTCTCTGTTTTCTATTCAATTCAGGTTGAATACTGTCCATGTAGTGTGCCAAATGAATGCTGGAATCTAATGCGAGAATTGATGCAGAGTTTCCTAGGCAATGTGGCGGAGACACTTCCATTGTTAGTAAAAAACAAGATTGACACATTCTATACAGCAGGAGATACAATTAACCAGTATCTGGAACACTTTAATAACTTCCGTAAACAGACAAATGTGAACCAACAAATAAGATGATAACTATTATCTACACTTTGTAACATGATTTTACATTTTAACACGTCACATGGTAGCAAATCACATCGCAGCCTGTCACTTACATGTCACATTGTAATTGGTCAAATTGTTACGTACAGTTTGTATGATCATAGTCATAAATGGAAGGACAAGATTACACTTTTAATGTTGTACTGTATGAATAAAGATTTCAATTTCAGCTTTAACTGAGCAACAGCAATCTTGTTTTCTTCACAACTTGTGAATTATTCTCAAACGGGACAATTTCGTCAAATTTGATTGTTGTATATGAATTATGCTTGAAGAAAATCAGTAAAATGATGGAATGGATTGTCAACTTTATTTATATAAGTCTTACCTTAAAAACTGATATTACCTTTCAAAAGGGAAACACCCCACTGTGGACTGGTAGTTAAGGTACCAGTCTCTAAACCCAGACATTGTGGGTTTGAACCAAGACAACATCTACAGAGACCAGATCCATTCTCCTTGTCTGGTCTTTATATGCAGGCTTGACTACTGTGGCATGTTGACTCAAACTATCGAGGGGACGGATTACCCGTTGATGATTGTGTTGCCTTTCAACGCAGAGATCTTTTTAAGTCACATACCTGTTTGGGGTCATAATCTTATTTCCTCACATGACACCAGTCCTGGTTAGATTACGAACTTGAGAGTGGTTTAAATGGGTTACAGGCTGTTCCAATATAAATGAAATACATTGTATAAAATGTTTGGCCAAGTTTGAAGTTTTGGACGTATTTGTTGCAACCATGCATAGATGTATTTTTGCGCAGTGAAACCTGTTAATTTAGGGGTGTAATAGAATTACTCTGTAGAGCATCTACATGTAACATCTACATGTTACTGCTTAACAATCAATTGTGATTATGACTAGCAGGCGCGTTGTCAGGGAACTGTTAATAAAAGACATTGTTTATATGCAAATTTAAAAAGATAAAAGAATAAAAGAACTATGACAAGGCCATTGTTCGCAGAATGGTTCTTTTTCTAATAATAATATTGTTGTTGTGTAGAATTGACTTTGTTTGCTTTGAACAATGAGTGTTTATTATAAACGTTTATCTTTACCCTAGAGTACTAAACGCAGACTACCGAGGGATCTTTAATCAAACATATTTCAAAATTGATATTTCTCCTATTATCAGAGTAATTTTGTAAATGTATTTGTTGTATACAAACAAAATCGGCAATGGATTACTAAAGTATTAAATTATTTTGATTGAATCTGATCACAATGTTAAGTGATTGATATAATCATTTGACTACATATAAGGTTTCCATTCTCAATTACCTAAAAGTACTTTAAAGTAATTAGAAAAAAACTCCCACTGTTTACAAAAAAAGTTAATTGATTGTATACATTTAATTTAATGTATTCATTTATTTTATTTGTCCTTCGGCAAGGTTATAAAGATCAATTCACATCTAGACTTGGCCTCACTTATTTTATTGAAATAAAATTAATTTTCCACTATTGTCATGATTTGTTCTTGATTGGATTGATTAATTATTCACTAGTGATAATTCTCTGTATAGCGTCAATGGAGTAAATGTGAATTTTTTTTCAAAAGAGCAAACTTATAATAAATGGTTACAACCTGCCGTCTGCTCAATCAATGGGAAGACCAAAACCAAAATGTCCGTCATTAAAAAGGCTGAAAACCCGCCTCCACCTGCACTCCATGCCCCCACCTCCTCTAATGAAAAAAAAAAAAGAAAAAAAGTAAAAAAAAAAAACCCACACAAACCATAAAACTATGCTACAGCGGACTGCCTGTCAAAATACAAACAAAATTACTTGCAGTGATACAGTACATTGTACAAGCGTGTTTAAATTTATAATATACATGTATGTTTGAATAAAAAAAATTGGACAGAGTATTTTCATGTCTTTTCTTCTCTGTAGGCCTGTTTAGCTGTCTTACCGAGGGTACTTTTTGTTATAGCCTATTAAACGTAGGTCTATTTCTTTTACTTTTCATTTTGAAGCCTTTTGGCTCTTTAGCAATTCAGTGTAGGCTGCCGAATGTTACCAAGTTTTTGTAGTTTAAAAAAAAAGCCAGCTCCAACTACATTTTATATTGAAGGCCGCCCCATGGGAAAGGCAAAGGCAATCCGTTTTCGCATTCCAGGGCGACCTTGAATTCAAGTCTTAAGTTAATAAAACGTTGTTTTTCAACATGTTCTATGGGTATTCGAGGGAAGAAAAAGACAAGTGATTTTGACATGCCATCTAATTTATTGACAGAAAATGCATGAAGAATGCTTTCAAAAATGAAAAGAAAAGAAAACAAGAAACAAACTGTTCACATAAAAGTAAACCCTTTCCACCATTTCCTAGAAGGACCCGGTTTAGTAAACACCTTCTCTTTACCGTGTTCTTTCGCTATGCACCACGCGAAGCCAATTACTTGCTGAATTGAAAACGGAAATCCACGATTCGCCATATAAAAAATTACAAAATAACTTACAAGCGCAGATTCTTCGTCAGCATTTAATGCCGTTTTTACACCCATTTTCGCTTTAAGTGGTACCTTGCCATTCACTCTATCAGACAAGGTCATGTGCGGTACACCAAACGTTTTGGATGCTGACCTTATAGTCATTTGTCCAGATTTGACTGCTTTAAAAGCAGAAGACATAAACTCATCTGACCACTTGCGCAACTTTTGCGGCCGTTTAGAATGGCGTTCCATATCTGAAATAATTGCAATTTATAAATGACCGGAGTAACATTTCAGGTTCATTGAAATCAGCGTTAGTTTAGAATTTAAATAAACCAAAGCCCGTCATGTTGAACCTATACTCGTCAACTATAAATATAGCGTAATTTATACGTAAATGATAATGATAGATAGTCAAAGGGAGGTAAATAAGACAAATTAACCATAGGCAAAGCTACAATAGTTACGCAACATTATATACAAATGGCCACGTGTTCCAATCGCCTTTGAATGGTGTGTAGTGAAGTCACATGCCCGAGTGAAGAAACACTGTCAAAAATACCAGCTCCGTCTAGCATTGTAGTATGCGCAACATAGATGTAGGTATACCCTCCCCTGTAAAGGCGTATAAAAGGAAAAAGCTTTACCTTCAAAAAGTACCCGCCGTCGAAACTTTGGAGCATCTCACGCGAGAGAAAGCGCGATTAGAGAAAATTGTCGACTTTAGGATTAGGACGACTATAGGTTTTTTATGCCACCGCAGCATCTGCGATGCGGTGGCATATAGCGATTCACCTGTGTGTGTGTGTGTGTGTGTGTGTTTGCGTGTGCGTGTGTGTGTGTGTGTGTGTGTGTGTGTGTGTGTGTGTGTGTGTGTGTGTGTTATATAGATTATATAGTGAACTTAAAAAATCTTCTTGTGAAAAACCACTTGTCCAATTTAAACCAAACTTGGCCGGATTGATCCTTGGGTGAAGGGCTTCCAAAGTTGTTCAAAGAATTTCATTCCATGCAGAAATCTGGTTGCCATGGCAACCAAAAGTAATTATAAGAATAAATTTAAAAAATCTTCTTGTAAAGACCCAAAAGGCCTATAGCTTAGATATTTTGCATAAGGCATTGTCTGGTAGACCTCTACCAAGATTGTTCAAATTATAGCCCTGGGGTCCAAATCGGCCCTGCCCCGGGGGTCATTGATTTTCACTATATGTACATATAGTAAAAACTTAAAATACCTTCTTGTCTGAAGGTACCAGGCTAAGAGGTTTGATATTTGGTATATGTTATTATCTATAGGTACTCTTCCAAAGTTGTTCAAAGTTTGCCTCTAGTGTCAAAGTCAGCCCCACCCCGTGGAGGGGGGGGGGGGGGTCATAGGTTTTTCTTATATGTATATTTTAAAAACTGAAAAAATCATTTTCTCTAAATTCACAAATGCTAGAGGTTAGATATTTTGCATGAAACATTGTGTAGTGAACTTTAGCAAGATTGTACAAATTATAGCCCTGGGGTCAAAATTGGCCCCGCCCCGGGGGTTATTGATTTTCAATATGTACATATAGTAAAATATCAAAAAAAATTATTGTCTGAAGGTACAAGCCTTAGAGCTTTAATATTTGTTATATGATATCATCTATAGGTAGTCTACCAAAGTTGTTCAAATTTTGCCTCTAGTGTCAAAACTAGCCCCGCCCTTGGGGTCATAGGTTTTCCTCTGACATATGTATATTGTAAAAACTTAAAAAATCATCTTCTCTAATTTCACAAAGGCTAGAGGTTAGATATTTTGCATGAAACATTGTGTAGTGAACCTTTAGCAAGATTGTACAAATTATAGCCCTGGGGTCAAAATTGGCTCCACCCCCGGGGTCATTGATTTTCACTATGTACATATAGTTAAAAATTAAAAAATCTAATTGTCTGAAGGTACAAGGCTTAGAGCTTTGATATTTGGTATATGATATCATCTATAGGTAGTCCACCAAAGTTGTTCAAATTTTGCCTCTACTGTCAAAACTAGCCCCGCCCCGGGGGTCATAGGTTTTCCTTACATGTATATAGTAAAAACTTTAAAAATCATCTTCTTGAATTGACAAAGGCTAGAGGTGAGACATTTTGCATTAAACATTGTGTAGTGAACCTCTAGCAAGATTAATCAAATTAAAGCCCTGGGGTCAAAATTGGCCCCGCCCCTGGGGATCATTGATTTTCAGCCACTATGTCATAAATTAAAAACTTAAAATCTTATTGTCTGAAGGTACTAATCTGATAATAACAGATAGGTAAATGATCTATGCATTATGGCAATCTGTATAGAAACAAAAAAAAATTGTGTTCCTCCATTACTAATTAGTGTTGTATTTATGCGGTGGCATGGCATTTTTTACAAATGCAATCTTGTTTACATTAGGAGTTGAGGATATATAATTATTGAAAACACTTACCTTTTGATGTTAATCAAACTCAGTAACACAATTAAATTGAAAAAAAAAACTTTTCCCGACATAATTTACCAAAGTCATTACGTTCACTGCACCATTTACACCTGCCCAGCCGTTGAAAGCTATAAACGGCGTAGTTAACAGACTCTCTACGTTGTCGCAACTAGCTATTATGCAGAAAGTATGATTGTTTCTGTTCCAAATTTAAAGCAGGGTGAATCCATAACACACATTTAGCAGGCCAAGAGCTAAATGCAACACCATTAATTGGTAGTTGTTGAATATAATTAGAACATATCTTAAATAATAATGATAATAAGATCTTTATTTCAGAAAGGTAATATTAACATGCACATGAAGATATACCATCGTAGAAAACAAATTACATATCTTCACTTGAAATGTGGCCTTCTAAACAATAT